GTGGGTGTCAGTGTTAAGTTTGTAGAGAAGAGATGCAGGATTTAAAAGAAGGGCTCAGGACCCTCCGGGGACCAGAAGGACCGTGGGGTCCTGTTAAAGAGTACAGCCTCCTTAGTGAAAATTAAATATTTAATGCAACATTACTGTATTTAAAGTAAGGTGGAAGCTATTGATCTGCATTTTCAGAGCTCAAACCATGAGTTTAGTATAGTCTGGGATATGGAATTTGATGCTTTCAACCAGCTCTGAGGTATTACACTCTAGGTTTGAGGAAGCTGGCAGGATAGTTTGATTAGCTTAGTACTGCCTCTGTATCCCCATTATGGTGTTCCCAAATCTCCCTCCTCCAGTGGTGGCGCTGCTTCGCTGCTCAGTGCCCGGCCCTGAGCTAATGGAGCATCAGCACAAAGTTTCTCTAAGTAGTGATTTACAGAGCTCTGCAGATGCTGTGTCACACAGATGCAGAAGATTGTTATGGGTCTTGGGAGCCTGAGTCTTGTTCAGAGAGGCCAATGGTTAGTTCACTGTTAGAGATAACACATTTAGGGAGAAGGATTAAAAGATGAAGCAAGGTTATCTTTGTATTGGGCCTGTTTATTTGTTAACTGGACAGAATCTTACGGAGTCCAGGCTGGTCCTTCCTTAAAGTCACTGTGTAGCTAAGGATGACCTTGAGCTTTTGATCCACCTGCCTCTACCTCTCAAGGACAGGGATTACAGGGATGCACTACTTGGCCAGTGTTTGAACCTGGGATTTATTATCTGCTGGGAGGGCACTCTGCCAACTGAGACACACACACACCCAGCAGGTGAGCTTAACTGTCTCTTTCTTTCAAATATGTTTGTGGGTGTGGTCCGCATGTGGGTATGCAAATACAGTGCACAGGGAGGCAGGAGGCATTAGATCCCCTGGAGCTGGACTCCCCTGAAATGCTGTTGAGAACTAGACCTCTAGAAGTGTTTTTAGCTACTGAGCCTCTCTCCAGCCCTTAAATTGGTTTTTAATCTACATGTCAAGGAAATTTTTTTTTTATCCCTCCCTCCCTTTTCTCTGTACCTCTCTTTCTTCTGTCTTTTTCTTTTTTTCTCAAGGAAGTCTGCATTACAAAAAACTAAAAACAGGTAAATGTCTCAAAATGAAACCAGGAAATATTATTCACAGACCATGCATTACTCAGCAGTCATGGCTGTCAATATGGTTCACTAAACCTATAGCTAACTAAGAATACTGGGTTTTATGGCTCATTTTGTCCCATAGTTGTTTTCCTCTGCATTATTTTGTGAATGTTGGATTTGTTAGATTATTTGTAAAAATGTGGGTAGGTGGGGGGCTTTGACCTTGACAGTGGGAAAGAGACTAGGACTTTAATATAAATAACTTATAATCAGGCATTCTCAAGTAGCCAAAAAGAAAAGGTGATGCCATTTAAAGTTAAATTCATCACTCATTCATTCATTTCTTCGTTCACTCATTCTTGGAATTGAACTTAAGTCCTCTTACATGTTAGGTGAATCTTCTGTCACTAAACTACATCCTAAATCCAAAGCAAATTATTTTTAGATTACAAAACTTTGATACTTGTTGTAGTAAATGGGCCCACTCCCCGAGCTTTTATGCCACTCACATCTTTTTAAGTCAGAGGATAGGAGTCCACCCCTGTCTGCAGGGCTGACAGTGGGTTCTGTGGGACATCAGAGCAGACAGACAGACAGATTGTGAATGAACAGCTTCAGGCTGTCCCGCCGTGATGCACCATAGCTGTTTGCCAAGGTAGCCAGCAAGAGTCAGGTGGGTCTGACATCAGAGCAACTGTCCCAAGAGGCTTCCGTTCCTTAGCTTGTTCAGAATGCCTTTGGTGAGAGCTACTGTAAGACAGGATGAACACTGTGTGGTTGGTGATGTTGGATGTGTTTCAGGAGCAAAATCACCTGGAACGACCAAATGACCATGTTCCAGGCGCGCTGGCCTCTTTTCTCTCCCTGCAGAAATATAATGGCTCTGCAGTTGCTGCCTCCTGTTTCAGAATGATATCCCCCAGCTCTTCAAAGTCACTGACTGTCAATTTTCTGTGCCCCTCATTACCTTATTTTCCTTCACAACATTTGGTTTTCTTAGCATTGCCTGTGCATGTCACTGGCCCTATAGCTACCTCTTGGAACCAAGCAGTACAAAGGAGTTCCTGGTCCTGTCCACCATATGTCCTTAACATATGTCCTTAACATACATGCCACATGCCATACACCACACCCATTCAGAGATGCTGCCTGAGTGAGTTGAGTTGTTTAAACAACTGTGGGTGACATGAAATGAACAGCGGCTGAATGTACCGAAGTTAGCTGGTCGTTTGGCAGGAGCACTCAGTTACACAGTGAAATGTTAGGCCTGGGGTGCAGCTGCGTTAGAGACAGAGGGAGGTTATCAGTGGTCGTAGGTAGGAGTCGGCACACATTCTTGGAAGAGTTGCAACTCTGCTTGCTTGTTCCACTTTATCACTGGTGGTTGTGGCCCTGCATTGGCTGGTACTGATTGAGAGAGGGCTCAGCAGTTAAGAGAGCAAACTGCTTTTGCACTCAAATAGGGTAGCCCACAAGCATCTGTAACTCCAGTACCAGGGTAATCTGATGTCCTGCATGCACTCTGGGTAACCGTACTCATGTGCGTAGCTCACACACACATACACCAATATGTTATACATCAGCAATAATAATAAATCTTTTAGAAAGATAACTTGTAAATATTTACCACTAGAGCATAGAGAAGAACAAACTCATGTGCTCTTAAAGTTAGCGTGGATGTTGAGTTGCTTAAAATGTATTTTAACATACACCACAGGGTAGTTATAGGGCCCATGAATTACATTTTTTTTAAGTGTCTCCTTTCTGAAATGCCCCATGGTGAGAGTTTAGTCTGAAAGAGTACAGTGATGTCCTTAGCGGTGTGACATACACTGTACAGGGCGTTTCTTGGTTTTGTGAGCACTTATATTTGTGAGCGCTGTAAATAGTGACTTCTCTGCCGAGTCCCCGGGGTCACAGGTAGACACTGGTCAACCCATCTTGATGGGCATGAACAGCTCCTAGCTGTGAACATAGTTGTGTGCTGGGGGAGGAGGGACTCTGCTTTGTTGCTTGAATTTTATCTTTCAAAATAATAATAATAATAATATTTCACTTGGTTTGAAGTCACCGGAGTTTTAACTTTAAAAGCAAATGGAAGCACTGTGTACTGTACAGGATCTGGTGGCAGGAAGGCAGAGGAAGCTGGAGGGACATTACAGGCTGGGGCATGAGGTGTGACATACAAGATGCTGAGCAGGTGTGGGTTGAAGTGCCTCCTGTGGCAGCCTTGTTCTTTTCACAAGTGGCCTGCACTAAGCACTGGCTCCTTAGCTTCCAGTCCTTCAACACTAGCAGGTGTCAAGTTCGGTGGGCTGTCTGGCTGAAAGAGTGTTCTGCCTCTGGCCACAGTGACCAAGAGGCTGGCTGGGTAGACGAGAGGGGTACTCCTCTGTTTCAGATAGTTTGCCAGAGTTTCCCTGAAGCTGAGGCTTGTGAATTCCCTCCCGGTGCTGAGCCACACACACGGTCCTGCTTTTCCGTAACTTGACGTTGGTGAAGCCCTTGGCCCTTGGCATTCATCAAGCTGTCTGCACACTTCGAATACTTTTTTTTTTTAACCTTTTGCTGCCCTCCTCCCACAGCCGTACAATGTTTTAGCCTCACCTCAGAGCTCCATGGTGGCCTTGGCGGCTTCATGGACCTACACATAGGGTCCTGCCAGCTTGAGCTTCTGCACTAGTTTTCTTAATGAGGGCATTGTTTGCTTTCTAGTCTGCCCCCTTGTTTATAAAATATGCCAAGAGAACCAAATACCCCACTGTTCTCAGTACTTACTTACTTTCCCAAACCAAATGTTTATGTCCTTGAATACTAAACTTGAAGAAAAAGGATTCCCTCTCGTGGGAAAGTGACAGTCACTGAGTTCTTTCCGAGCTATAGCTGGAGGCCCGCTTTTCAGAAACACTGAGCTTATCAGTGACTTTGGGAACTATTCAGACCAGCCTCCTTAGCCTTGGTGTGTGTGCACATGAAGACAGGTCCACTCTCATCTGCCCTCCCAAGACACCCCTCAGCACAGAGGTGGCATTCTGAGCTTGGTTTGCTCCCAAAACTTAGTATACATAAGTAGACAGAAAGGAGAGCCAGAGTAAAAATAGTTTTAAAACATGGTCAACTGGACCTAGTTGCCAGCGTGCCTACCTTCAGCTAACCTGTAGAAGATACAAGTTGGTGTGGGTAGGGCACCTCCTTGGCCTCAGTGGCAGGTTCAATGCCACCTGGAAGCTTGCAGGCACAGGCTGAACTCTCCCGGGTGACTCAGCCTGACACCTGTGTTTTCTGGGTGCTGACCAGGTGACCCTCGTGGAACCAGGCTCCAGGGGTGAGAGTCATGACTGCATTGTTCCCCTGCTGTGGGGTTCCCCTGTCTCTTCTGACTGGAATCACAGTCCCTGTCTGCCCACAGGTTGTGTTCTAAGCATGCACGACCACCTTCCTTTGGCTTTTACCACAGAGGAGAAACTTCTTGTTACCTTTGCTAAACTACTTGAACAAAAAGTTTAAATTGAAGCTGTTTATCCTGAAATTGCTGCAGGGCCACACTGTTTACACAGGCAAAGAGACTAACAGGGTATTTTGGTTTGGTCTGCAGGGAAAAGGTGTATGGAGTTTTCACACCCCCTTTCCCCCTTAGACACATGGCAGTCTAGTCAGACTGCACCCAGTAGCTGTGGGCATGTGACAGGCTAGACAGCTAGACAGGCCTAGGCTTACAGATGTTATTTTGTTAGGCTTCCCATTTGCAAAGCCAGCATTGCTGCTAACTCCCATTTCCTTGCTGGTTTGTTCCTTTTTCCCGAATCCTGTCTTTTAGCAGGTGAGACCACAAAGAGGTCTGAGGTGAGTTCTGTTCTGACCAATACTTAACCTGTGTTCCTCAGTTGGTGGACGAGTGAGTCGAGAATTAAATTATACCCGCCAGAAGATCGGAGAGGAGGCCATGTTTAATCCTCAACTCATGATACAGACTCCGAAAGAAGAAGGCGCTAACGTCCTGACCACAGAGGCGCTCCTGCAGCATCTGGACTCGGCACTCCAGGCCAGCCGTGTGCACGTCTATATGTATAACAGGTGAGGCCATCAGTGTCCCCTGCACAGGTGCAGCAGGCAGGCCCCTTGTTTCCACAGTGTTGCTTTTGGATTATTAACTTAGTTCCAACAGTTTTCCTGTTACCTTTAGAGCCCAGGGTTTCATAGATGTTCTGCAGTGCTACCACTAAGCACTTCTCCATCTTGATTTGTTTTTCCTGTTGGCTAGCAGAATGCTTCACATTGACTGTTACTTAGCCAAAGTGCTGGGGACCCGGAAGTGACTCAACATTTAAAAATTAACTTTGCACTATTTTCATGTAAAAAGTTATATTGGGGGCAAGATTCAAGACTGAATGCAGAATTGGCACATGTTTCAGTGTACCTTATATAGTATGTTAATGTTTATATTTGTGCACACAGTGGAGTGTTGTGGTGTGGAATGTTCTACTTGAGGCATCATGTTGGTGTCAAAAAGTCTCAGATTCTAGAGCATTCAGATGTCAAACATAGAGTTTAGGGATATGTTCACCTTTAAAAAAAGGTTGTTAACGTGTGTGAGTTTGGCTGCATTGTCTGTGTACCACATGTGAACAGTGTGGAACTGGGGCTATAAAGTGAGCTGCCATGTGGGTGTGGAGAACTGGAGCCCGGTCACCTACAAGAGCAGCGGGTGCTCATTACCTCTGAGCCAGCTCTCCAGCCCCTGTAATGTAATTTGAGTAAGGATCTTGGTGTGGTCCACGGATGAATGTGGTTCTCTTGGGAGGCTGCACACCTGCTCATTGCCTGAGATACTTTGCCCAAATTAAATATCTTGTTAACTTGGTTAATTATCTCTATTACTGTACCTTTCTTTGGCACGGTTATGCTTTGGACAGCCAATAAAGTGAAGGGCAGAGGGAGGGAGGAGAAGGAAGCACAGGGAAGAACTCAGGTCTTTGACTTTGCCTACACAGGCCACAAAGCAAATGGAGGGATGGGTGTGGAGCCTCCCTGGGAGTTCTCTGGATTGTCTGAGTGAGGGAGATTCATACATATACCTTTTGAAGATAGTTTTTCGAACAAAATTAATTAACTTTTTTTTTTAATACATCTATATGTCAATTACTTCAGAATAGGAGTCCTATGCACATCTGGCCCATTGCTGAGCAGGGTCAAGACCAGATGTCTGTTGAAAAGGCTTTGGAAATAATGTGGACCTGTCCAGTGGCCTGCTCTCCTCATATCAATAGTGTGCACTGTAGGGAGAGTAACTGTCTGGTCTAGATGGCAAAATTGGCAGTCAGAGGCACTGTGAAGAACCTGCTGTGTCCAAGGTTATTCCATACATCATATGCCAAGACCTGTTCTGAGGTACTTGTCACTTACATGCTTCAGAACAAGATGTAAGACTGTGCTATGAAGCTGCACCCTTCTCAAGTAAGATAAGATGGACTCAGAGAGCTATGCATAGGAGTGAGCCATTGTGTAGTGAATGTATGCACTAATGGAGCATCCATCCAAGACCGTAGGGATATTGAATGATCAACCCAAGTTTCAAACCCCATCCTCTGGATTCATGGCCAGTGAATGATCAGTGGTGTCCTTCTCAAACACAAAAGAATCAGCTGATCGGGTGACATTGAAAACACTGGATAGAATCAAAGAGACTGTGTGTGTGTGACACATACACCTACATAATGAACAGGTTGATAAGTCAAGTAGAGAGAAGGAAGGATTGGAAGAGATGGGTAGGTGAATGAGTGGGAAATGTTAGCCCTGACACTGTGGAGAGAAACAGTCAGTACAGTACACACAGACAAAGCCAGGCATGAGCAGTGCCTACCTTATGTACACCAGGTACTGACAGGAGTCAGGGCTCTGTGAGAGGGGTTGTTTTCACCAGCATTAGGCAAAAAAAGCTTTTTAACAGGAAGGTAGAATTTCAAAAGGGTACTGAACAAAAAATAGAAAAATTCTAAAAGGAAGAATAAGATGAAGGCACAGGGTCCAAAAGGTGCCCTTGGGTGAACACCAGCCTCTCTTAGGAAACCAATAAAATAGAGCAGTTTCGGGGTGCGGGGACGTCACTTCTTATTTTCACCCCTTTAATTTCCTATGTTTACTCTTTCCAAATAGCCTTTTATTTTTTGAGTTCGCTTTTTCCCTAGTCACACTGAAAAAGCCATAAGTTTACAGAGCACTCTTAGAAATACTAAAACCAAATTAATTAATGGTCAGTGTATTTAATGTCTTTCAGACAAGGGAGTCCAGTCTACCTAGAAGAGGTTGTTCATAAGATTTGTGATTAAGAATAGGAATGTTTGGTTCACACATGACCAGAAATAACATCTGCTAGTAAAAAAGAGAACTGAAAGCCAGTAAGCTTTCCCACCGGGGTGTACCCCAACACACCCTCCACTGACTCAAGTGCCACTTATTTTGAATTTGTGATAATTCCACTGGATTGCTGCAGGTCATTTAATGTATGTAGAAAAGCAGATTAATGGTGTAAACAAGATTATTGGTGGAACACTTACAGAAACAAGACTTTTCAAGTACTTCGATAGCATTCATTTACATAAACACCCCACATGTTAATTACGATCCAGTGTTATCTATTCATTAAAGCAAGCTTGCCGGCTTTCTGCTTGGCAAAAGCTCTGCTGGTTTTGACAGATGCTTCAACGTGATCGAAATTACAGCCTTTTGATAAGTCCTGTTGTTCCTGTTTTAAGCTCATTTCATTGCAGTAAGAAGTGTTTTGTTTTGCTTTATTTTTCTCTGCTTTTCATCCCAATAGGCAATGGAAGTTGGAACATTTGTGCTACAAATCAGGGGAACTTATCACAGAAACAGGTTACATGGATCAGGTATATTCTTTTCTTGTTTGCAAAGAGGAGAAACCGTTCAAAATTTCTGGAAACTACCTCATTGGCAAGTGTTAGTCTAATGCACTCCTGTTGTTTTTTGCTTTGACAGATAATAGAATACCTTTACCCTTGCTTAATCATTACACCTTTGGACTGCTTCTGGGAAGGAGCAAAGTTACAGTCGGGGACAGCGTACCTCCTGTAAGTGTACCCTCAGTGTCACATTGCTGGACTCTGTGACAGTTTCTGGTGTGGCTTATCATTGTTTATTCTGTTTCAATTTTGGACAAAAAATAAAAACATTGAAATTCCGTGCGCAGTTTTTGAGTGAATGGTGGGGGGAAGAGGGGATTTCAGCAGAATGTTTTTTTTCTCTCTCTCTTTTCAAAAACAGTTCTGTAGGCATCATTAAATTTCATTCACTTTTACCAACCTATTTATATGCAAATAAAATGCAAATTACCACACAGTCTGTGCAATTTTTAAAAAACTCTTTATAAAATGCTTGTAGTTATGCAGGCCAGCACTCAGACATTTAAGAAGAGAATTTATTACAGGGTACATGTCACAAAGCAATACTTCAAGCTAAGGTTCAAGATCTTCCTGCAAAATCAAATATTAGCCCCTGTTTAGATCACGGTAATGATGTTTAAGGGATAAATGTGCCGTCTATAAAGGCCATGACAAGGGATGCTTCATAGCCCAGCAGTTGGGAATTACATATACCACATCATTTGAAGAATGATGGTTACTCAGTGTAGACATTTTTCAGCTAATTACGCAAGAGTTAGTGCTTGGATTATTGTTTCCGTCCTGGCCCGTACATATCTGCAAAAGCAATTTGCAGTGGCCACCCCCTGACCTTCAGCGTACAGTTTTAGATGGGAAATAAGGGGTTTTGTGTTTTCTGGTTGGGAGAGTCTGAATAATGACTTCAGCCTGGGTAAGCAGCTACAGTGCGGTTTGAACCACAGAACAGGCAGCCAAAAGCCTTTCTGGTCTGTCAACAGCACAATTTCCAGAGTGAGTGGGGGAAGTGGCTGTGGTGGGGTGATAGCAGACCCCATGGGGGCTAACCCACCACTGCCAGCCTGTCGGAGAACTCCTGAGTGAATTGTTCAAGGTAACAGATCAAATACTTGGATGGGTCACATTTAGAAAGCAGTTTTTAAGCCAAGTCAGGTGCTAATATAATATTGTGATTCACTGTTTCAGTTTTTAATTTTGAATTTTGGTGTTCCAGAAGTACCCCGATTGGCAGACTTTTTAAAAGATACTAAATACAATATTAGGGGATTAAGATTCTCTGATGTTTGTGTTTATTTACAAGCTCTCTGCATCTTCAGTCATGAATCCTTTTCTTGACTTAAGTTTGCAAGTGGCTTTACTGGGAAGGGATGTTCATATTTTTTCCTTTATACCCAAGTTCCAGAATTATGCTTTGAAAAGGCTGTTCTGCACAGATGCTGCCATGGTACTCTCCTGCCTGTCTGAATCCATTTTTTCATGGCCTCACCTCTTAATTTCTTTCGCAGAGGTAAGCCTCCTTTACGGTGGACAAACTTTGACCCCTTGGAATTCCTCGAAGAGTTAAAGAAAATAAACTACCAAGTGGACAGCTGGGAGGAAATGCTGAATAAAGCTGAAGTTGGCCATGGATACATGGACCGGCCCTGCCTTAATCCAGCCGACCCAGATTGCCCTGCCACAGCCCCCAACAAAAATTCAACCAAAGTGAGTTTTCAGAAAGTTCAGGGAAAAAAGCTTTTTCTGTTTTCCTTTACAGTTCTCTTTATGATTTTCATCTTAAAGATTTCATTTGCTGTGACTTTTGTTCCTCTTTAATTTGGTGTGTGGAATTGAGGCTGTTCACAGACCTAAGTTTTGCTGTAAGATTCAGCATAACCCTCATTAGCCTTGTTATTAATGTTTTCTCTGAAACAAACAAGCCCTTAACGCACTAAATTTTAACGAGGCATGTGACCTGCCTACTAATTCCCATAATTATGTGGCTCTCTTTTCATTACAGCCTCTTGATGTGGCCCTTGTTTTGAATGGTGGATGTCAAGGTTTATCCAGGAAGTACATGCATTGGCAGGAGGAGTTGATTGTGGGTGGCACAGTCAAGAATGCCTCTGGAAAACTCGTCAGGTAATCAGCACAGTACCCCACACCATCCTTTGGACTCGTGTTAATCTTAGCTAGCTGTCCAGTGTCCTTGAACCTTGGGGACCATTAGTATACCAGACCAGCTTGCAAAGAAATCTCGTGGACACGTTTTCTAGAGTGGATGTTAGTCTTCATCAGAGCTGCAGCCATTGATGTCGGGGTTTTGAAAGGCCGGCCCGTATGTAGACTAATGGGGCAGGACCATCCTGGGTGAGTGTGGAGGTGAGAGGTGGGTCTGATCAGCCTCAAAGACCAGGAGCTCCAGGCAATGCAAGAGCTAGCCTTTGTGCAGCCAGGGCCGCCAGTCAGCCACGGGTCAGGTGTCTCGGCTGAGGTTTCTCCCTTGGGATAATGTCTCTGGGATTTCTGCACGGAGAGAGTATGGCTGAGCCTAGGGTATCTGGTCGAGTTGTCTACTCCCCTCTCCTTCCTGTTTCATGGAATAGGAACTGAGAAAGGAAATTGCCTATTAATTTAATTTTGGGGTCTATCTGTAAAAGGTTTGTAAGGTTACACCTTTAATATGGTACATCAATCTATTAAATACAATAACCATCCTGGTCTGGTTTGAACGGAAACATATGCGCCCAGAGGAGGGAAGTCTGAGGGAGAGCTGGGGATACTTGCTGGGGACCTGGCGTTGCACAGCACACTGCGTGCTGGTAGTGCTGACCTGCCTCCTGTCCATTCACTTTGACGCAGTGCTCACGCCCTGCAGACCATGTTCCAGTTAATGACACCCAAGCAAATGTATGAACACTTCAGGGGCTACGACTACGTCTCTCACATCAACTGGAATGAGGACAGGGCGGCAGCCATCCTGGAGGCGTGGCAGAGGACTTATGTGGAGGTGAGCCTCGGGACTAGAAGTCAGGACAACTTGTAATTTAGTCCTTTCTTCTTTTCTCATTGAAACATTGTTTCCCATTAGGTTTAGGGGGATTTGGTTGCCCAGGCAATCTGAAATCTGCTATCCTCCTGCCTCAGCCTCCTGATTGCTAGGATTACACCACTGCTTCCAGCCTCCCTCCGGTTACTTTTTAATGCTGGTTTTAATTCCGAGCCCTGCATGAGATGCACGCTTGATTCTCTGTATCCAGCCATTGAAAGTCTTAGGAGTAGTGTCTGAAGGGGTACTCTGCAGCATGCCTAGGAACTATTACAGACTTCAGAGCCCAAGCATAACAGTGTTTAAAAACAAAAAACTGGGTGAGCGGGAGAAGGTGTCTGGAAAACATTAGCAAAACAGAATCTATTCACAGCTGCAGGCCCCTCAGTCAGGTCATGTGACAGGAGGCTGGCCTTTGTTTCCCAAGCAGTGACCTCTATGGTGCTGCCTGTGACCTTTTGAAAGTGTCCAGCAAATGAAGTGGGGGGAGGTGCAGTTTATAAGAATGAGTGGTTCTGCATTAAGAGGGAACAGTCTTCTGGCTGTGGAGGTTAGCATTCGTTAGTTAATTCCCTGGGTGGCCACTGCCTGCCTGCCCTCCCTTGATCACAGTAACGCTTTCTGTCAGAGGCAGATTGCTCTGTCCTTGTCCTCTGTGCACCTGAGTTCACAGTACCTGGTGTTAATGGATCAGCAGACAGTGTGGGGTGGCATTTTCAGGGTCTGGGCTTCGAAGCGTGTTGTTGCTTTCATTCAGCTGGGAATTTAGCCTTGTCTTTTGACCACAGGTGGTTCATCAAAGCGTCGCCCCAAACTCCACTCAAAAGGTGCTTTCCTTCACCACCACGACCCTGGATGACATCCTAAAGTCCTTCTCTGATGTCAGTGTCATTCGAGTGGCCAGCGGCTACCTGCTGATGGTAATTCTGTTCCCGAGGGTCCCTCATTTCCCTGTCACTTTGTAACTGCCCCTAACATACAAGTACTCCCAACACAGAGACAGCTCAGCCTTGTGAGGCCGTCAGAGGCAGCCCTCATGCTGCTGTGTGGTGCTCCTAGAGTAAAGAATTTAGTGTTGTTGGAATTAAGTGGGTTCTGCCTTTGGATGTGGGGCGATGGGTGGGGGAAACATTAGAATCATTGCACATTCTGATATTTGGCTCTTGTTTTGTGTCTTCCCCTACCTTCTCTCTCTGGTCCCCCTTTTCCCCCCTTCCCCAATTTTTCTGCTTACAGCTTGCCTATGCCTGTTTAACCATGCTGCGCTGGGACTGCTCCAAGTCCCAGGGTGCTGTAGGGTTGGCTGGTGTCCTGTTGGTTGCACTGTCAGTGGCTGCAGGATTGGGCCTCTGCTCCTTGATCGGGATTTCCTTTAATGCTGCGACAACTCAGGTACCACAGAGGCCATTCATTGCTGTCCCCCTGACTGACACCTTTACCAGCCTGCCGGCACCCTGTGTGTCTGTCTCATCTGAAGAGTCTCTAAAGCTTTTTCTATGAGGGGGAGGGGAGGGCTGGCTCTCGGAGCCAATCTGGTCTGTGGGTTAAAAGCATGAAGGGCCAGTGAAATGGATCAGTGGCTAAAGGCACTTGCCATGTAAACCTGGTGACCTGAGTTCAATGTCTAGAGGCTCTCCGTAGAGGTGGAAAGAGAGAATGAACTCTACAGAATTGCCCTCTGACCTTTCTACTGTGACACACATGTCCACACACACATCATGTGCATATATTCAAACACACATTAATACTTCTTTTTTTAGTCTGCAGAGATTCTTAGTAGGTAGACATTCACTTAGAATAGTTTTTGTCATTTACTCAGACCCTGATTCCCAAGCTCCAGCAGGCATTAAAATCTTTGAAAACAAAGGTGGCTGGGACCAGTCTGCAAAAAGGCACAATCTTACAGCTTCTCACTGACACTGGTCCAGGGGTTACAAGGGACTAGAGCTTTAGGTATAAGTTAGCTGGCTGTTTATTTTCAATTCTAAAACAAGTTCTTGTACCTGAACCTTAGAAATAGAATCTCGTGAGAACCTCTCTCAGTCATAACCAAAAGATTTTGGGGATGCAAACTATTGGATAAGTAAATTCTCCACTGAATTGGCATAAGCCCCCACTTGTCACCTGCAAGGCACTCCCCTTTGAGATCTTACCTGGCTAATGTTGTCATTGCCTATGTTTGCCTGCTGTAGGTTTTGCCATTTCTTGCTCTTGGTGTTGGTGTGGATGACGTCTTCCTCCTGGCACATGCGTTCAGTGAAACAGGACAGAATAAAAGGATTCCATTTGAGGTAACAGCAGGGAAAAGAAGGAAGTTTGGGGGACATCCAAACCCAACTCCCTTTATCAGTGTTTCTCCTGTAGTTTTTTTCCCACCAGATGACGTGTTACTGTGAGACGTAGGCATTTAAGGTGCCTGTGTAGGCATCTTAGCACAGTCCTTCATGCTCCCTGTTTGTTGCTGCCCTTTCCCAAAGCCCACATTGGCTTCTGTGCTTTTCATTGGCTCTGAATTTGTATTTAAGTCATCATCTTCAGCTTTCTGACTTGGGTGATGGTAAACATGAGGAACACATGAACTTGAGAAACCAGCAGGACCTGGTGTTGGGGTCCGGTGCTTGTGGCCTGTCTCTGTTCCTTAGACTTTGTATAACCAGTATTGGAAACTGGCCACAGTGTGCTTTAAGGGGTGGCCGGTACAGGCTGCAGTCCTCAGCACTGTGTGTGTCATCCTCAGGACAGGACCGGGGAGTGCCTCAAGCGCACAGGAGCCAGCGTGGCCCTCACCTCCATCAGCAATGTCACTGCCTTCTTCATGGCTGCGTTAATCCCTATTCCTGCGCTGCGCGCCTTCTCCCTCCAGGTGAGTTTACAGTGAGAGGGCAGATCCCTGTGGCTTGGCTGTTTAGCATCTATGCTCTGCTTCAATTACAAATCAAGTGCATGGCAGCAGTATTTGAGTCTTGGTGCTGGTAGGTAGGTGCCAAGGCTCTAGGCCTTCAGATCTAGGGGATGTTACCTTGTCAAATTGTACTGTGTAGTTTAGGTCAGTGGGCCCAGGGACACTCCTGGAAGTCCTGCTTGGCTGGCCCCTACTTCTAGAATACTCCCCTTCCAGTCACCCATACCTACCTTCCCTAAGCAGCTCCAGCCCCACCTCAAGGCCATGGGAGACTGTACTGGAGTATGCAGATAGGGTTGTCTGAACCCTGGGCCAGGCAGCAACTCACACACATTCGCACTGTATGAGGATGTGGGAGCTACTCGGCTACATCCTATAGGACCATCTCTCGGGGTCCTTTTCCTTCGTTGGCCTCCTCATTCTCTCCTGTACTCTTTGGTTCCTTACTTCCTTCTCAGCTTAAGAGTGCCTGCCACTCACTGTGCAGAGGCTGTGTGTTCCTGGCCTTATTACACTGCCCAGTCCATCCCGGCTAGGTAGGTCTTCTCAATCTCAGTCTTGCTGGCTGTGAATGGAGCAGCTATGGGCCAAACCTACTTAGTAGTTACAGGAAGGCTGAAGTGGTCAGTGCAGCAGAGGAAGCAGGCTCTTGGGTAGCTCATGACATGGTAGAAGTTTTTGAATTGATTTCAAGTTTTAAAGCTTCAACTGAAGCGAGCATTTGTCTCCCTTTTTCTTAGACTAGGGTATACAACTCATGGGATAGCCAGCCTCCTGAAGGAAACCACTTTTATGTACTTGAGGGAAAGTGTTGTTATGTTTGTAGTTCTTGATGCTGTCCACTCGTCAACAGGTGCTGAGGAGCATGTCTAGGGAAGAGAAGGTGACAAATGATTCATTGTATTCCTATTTATGCTCTTAAATACTCATTTGTCACCTGAGTAGAAGCAATCCCTTAGGTGTTTGAGCTTCATCTCCCTACCGATTGAGGCCCCACTGTGGGTGAGGCACCAGGCCTCCTTAACATTTAGTGAAAGATATGGGACTGTGAGAAGAGTGTCTGTCAGTCACAAGCACCAACTCCTTTGGGAAAACCAACCAAACAAGCCAGTACCAGGAAGCCTTGTTGTTATAAACGTCTATGGAGATAGCCATGGGTTAAGAAGTCAAATCTGAAACTGGACAGAGACCCAAGAAAATGAAAGTAGGCTAGTGCTTTGTAATAGTAAAAATGAGGGAGAAAGATGCCCATGGCCTTGGTGGTGCTGCTGACATCTTAGAGATTGTTTGGCACAGGCGTGTATCTGCTGCACACTCTTCTTGTGTCTACAGTTGTTCTTGTTCGTGTGCAGCTGACTCTAGAATGGTGATGTGCTGGAGTCTTTACTGGGAATTTCTGCTCATGCTGTCCTTTCCACTGCCTATCCCCCTCGCTGTGCGCTCCCTGCTCTGCTCTGTCAGCCTGCACATTCCTTTTCTGTCCCTCATTCTCTGCTCTCCTCTCCTCTCAGTACTGATGGTTCATCAAGGCAAACCCTCCTCCCTTAATGATATCCCACGCTGTGGTCTCTGAAAGCTACGTGAGTTTTCCCTGAGGATAGCCTTTTAGAAAATCCAGTACGCTAAGTTCTCCCAAGGTAAGCACCTTACAGGGACAAAATAAGTACTTTGTGTTTTGTGTGTCTGTCATCTGTAGCCACGAAGGGCATCCAGAGAGAGACACAGAGGTTCTGTGCCGTAATGAAACAGTGTAGCATTTGGATTTTTCTTTGTGAAACTTGGCAGATTTTTTTTTCCCTGACTTAAATAATAGGGTTCCCACACTTAAATATCTTTGGTCTCCAGTTCGGCCTTCACTGTGCTCAGCTCCTCAGTGAAAACCCTCAGAACAAGACCCTTTCTCATTCACTCATTCCAATGATAAAGGTTTGCTTTTTAAATGTTATTCTGTCTCTGTCTCTCTCTGTCGCTGTCTCTCTCTGTGTGTGTATGCACATGTACAAATGCCAAAGCAGGACATCAGGTGTTTTCCCTATTGCTTTCTGACTTGAGAATGATTCTCTCACTGAACCAGAAGCTTTTCAGCCACCTGGGCTGGCTGGCCAGTGAGCTCCTGGGAGCTTCTTGTCTCTAGCCCAATGCTGGTATGACAAGTCTGGGAAGCAGAAACAGTGTACAGTGTTCAACTTCTTTATGTGAATGCTGGGAATTGGTTGTGTGATAAAACTTTTTCTGGGAAGATGGAACACACACATCCACTCAAACCACACATTGAACCCATGACAAGTATGGTACCAGCAAAGCCTAGTTGGTGAACCAGTGATTGTTATTGGGGTTACTTATGGGAGTATGGGTGAGAGGTTACTGAAAGGAACAGAAATGACTCGAGGACAGCGGCATCACCAAAGCCCCACCCCAGGATGAATGACACCGCTCACATAGGTAGAACTCTAGAGCACACTGCACAGCCTTCAGGCAGCTCAACTGGTTAAAGGTGTCCTTTCCAGGTGCCTCTTCCAGACAGCTCTGCTGGTTTCTGCTCCTTCCAGGCAGTTAGGCTGATCTCAAGAGACTTCTATGCAGCCTGGCTCTGCTTACTCTCGTAGGGAGGGGACCTAGTTAATCTGGTCAATTTCAGGGACTTCCTTTCTGAAGCTGTTTTGAGTTGCTTACCTTTCTGTTTAGAGAGCTTCTTCCTTCAGGATAGAATGTTTCAGTCTTGGAGGAAACTGTTACACAACAGAATGTAAACTCAAGTCTTCAGGTTTTTAGAGTGACTGCTCTTGTCTACGAGTCACACCCCCCTCCCCCACAACACACACACACACTTTTTTTTTTGTTTGTGGCAGTGCTGTTTGAACACAGGACCCCATAAACAAGTACTCTACAGAACTACATACACCCTTACCCAGTAAAAGGGTTTGGGCTCAGGTTCTCCCATAGATGTGTCAGTAGATGATGTGGACAGCTTTTCTAGGCAATTAACTGTGAGCAGTCCACAGCCAAGGTCATTCCCACCAGATTCCCTGACTTACCTGGAATTTCTTTTTGTTGTTGCTTAAAGTTTCCTCTCCTTTTGCAGAGACTGTCTGTCTTACTTGAGAAATCGTTGCTAGTTGCTTTTAAGATTTTGACAGTGTTGAGATATCAACATTCATTTTTTTGGCAGCAAAGGATTCCTCCTAAATGTGTAGCATATCATCAGAAATAGGTTAGAGGGGATGTTGCTGTGGGTTTCTCGCAACCCTTCATTTCTGTCTGAATGAGCAAGGACAGCTACCTGGTCAGACTTTTTTATGAGCCCCTGTAGAAAGCTAGTGTTGCTGTGGTGCCTGTGTCCTTGTGGGGCTTAGAGCTTGGGAGTCTCTGCTCTCCAAGGATGCCTAGGTTATATCCCACACCTGAACTGTGGATGGAATTAAAAAGCTTAGAGGATTCAGCCCCAAGCATGACTTTTTTCATGGAAAATCTCCTTGAGTCTGTTTTGGTTTGGCTTGGCTTGATTTTATTTTATTTTATTTTATTTTATTTTATTTTATTTTATTTATTTATTTATTTATTTTAATTACTTAATTAATTAATTAATTTATTTATTTATTATTTTGAGGCAGGGTTTCTCTGAGTAGCCCTGACTCTCTTGGACTCAGTTAGTAGACCAGGTTGGACTCAAACTCTTTTGAGATCCACCTGCCCATGCCCTCCAGGCTTTCACCACTACCACCCACCCGGCTTTGAGTCTTACTCTTTTTCTTCCCAGCACTCCTCCTATCTAATTGGGCAACAGTTCACACCTAGCAGGAGTATGCCATTTCAAGTAAGTCACCAGCCCCAACAAGAGCTTCTAACCTGCTTCGTTTGAATCTAATTGACTGGGAAGCCTCAAGCTTTTTAAGTAATGGTTCTGAGGCAAACTGTTCACATCCTGGTTACTGTGAGAATGAGGTTGGTGCCTACTGACAGGGTCACAGGACTGAGTAGCTTGAGTCAGGAGCCTCTCCTGTCTGTCTTCCAGCCATGCATCTTGTCTCTTCCCTGTTCCTCCTGGGCCCTGTTTTCATCCTTAAACCCTTCCCAGGAAGCATTTTTATTTTGGACCAGACAGTCTCACTCTGAGCTGCTTGGGAACCTGTTTTTAAAATTGTATATCTCAGCCTGGGGTGTAATTTGTTTGTTTCTGAGGGCTCTTTGATTCTCCAGCACCAAGCACAATGCTAATCTGTAAAGAGAAGGAGGTATGTGTCCTAGATTAGTATTTCCAGTCAGTTGTGGCAAGAGCTCATCACACATGTGCTTCTTCATACATCTTCAGAGCCCTGCACATTTGTTTGAGTTGTACCTAACCTGTTCTGTGCCAATTGTTGAGATCCTTTTACAGTTAGCTCAGGAAAGGAGTTGGCTTGATATAGAAGACTTGGCTATCTTATGGCTTTGTAGAAGGGCCTCTTTCCTGGCTTGCTGTTTCACCTAGAGCATAAACCCACACTCCCTTCAAAAAGCCCTTTGTGAAGTGTGTCTTGGTTTTTAACTTTTGGTACCAGTGATGGCTAGGCTTCTTTCCTCACCCCAATCCATCTCTCTGTTTTGAGGTTTGAGAAGCTGTCTTTTGAAAGCTCTACTAAGAGGTGTTACTTGTTAAATGAATTTCTGATTATTTCTTGGCTATTTATATTTAGCATGCTCCTTCCATTTTTCTTCTTTGCTTCTTGTCCACTTCTCAGAACAGGGTCGCCCATGGATGTCTTGTCAGCTTTGCCCAATAACAGCCCAATTTTGCAATTTTTACTAGGTCAGTGGGAGATTTGCCCAGTGTTTATTCTAGGTTATGGAGTGGCTTTTGAATCCGTACTTATTTATTCTACAGACTATAATCACACGCTGGAATTTCTTTCTGCTTAACTCTCCTTGACCTTGGCTGTTACTCAGTAACATACCTCACAAGCTGCTCCTGGGGCAATTTGGAATGTGCCTATTAAAAACCTCGGGGGACATGTGTGAAATTTTATTTCCTGTTTTAAAGGTGACACTGTGATAGACTTGATCCATTTTAACATTATTATGTATTATTAATCAGGGTTGTGGGATCTCTTAGAAATGTTCTCGCAGAAAAGTGTTTCTTTTTGTAAAACATCTCAAGTCCTTTCTCTGCCTAGCTTTGTAGAGGTGATTTGGTTAGGTTAGTAAGTCCGTACTGGTTTCACTCCAACCTGTGTAATTTTTGGGGTTCTTCCATTTCAGTCACACACAGCCTCTTAATGGGGGGAAAGAAGACAGACACCCCATGTTGCCAGCGGTGCTTCATTAGGGAGCAGTAGGGTGGCAAGATAATATTGTCCAGGGTATTTTTGTTTGGGGTGGTGGAGAAATGGCCCAGTGGTTAAGAGCACTGTCTGCTCTTCCAAAGGACCCAGGCTCTGTTCCCAATACCCACATATCTGCTCACAATCACTTGTGATCCAGGAATCCAACATCCTCTTCTGGCCTCTCTGAGCATTGTGTGCTCATGAAGCACATATTTCATGAGGCAGACACTCTCACACAAAATCAGTTTTTAAAAAAATGATCTTTGCTTATAAAGCCACATGCTAACTAAAGTATGTTGATGACTTCAATTTTTCTGCTTCAGGCTGCTGTGGTTGTGGTATTCAATTTTGCCATGGTGCTGCTCATTTTCCCTGCAATTCTCAGCATGGATTTATACAGACGTGAGGACAGAAGATTGGACATTTTCTGCTGTTTCACAAGGTACATTTTCAGGCACTGGGCCTATATTGGTTGGTTACGTAGAAAGACTATTTAGATAACTCATCTAGTCTGTGGGCTTCTTCAGAAGGGAATGGAGCCAAAAAGGTTTGGCTCCAATGGTGGGCCAGGGAAGGTTTTAGAGATGAGCTCCCCGCCTTCCCCTCCCCACCTGAATATGCCCCAAACCCTCTCCTAGGGATTCTCCTGCATGTTGTCTTTTATTCCCCCATCACGAACCTGTGTTTATGTTCATCAGTAGACTGTTTGGTAGTTCTTTGGAGCAGAGAAGTACTGAAAACCACCTGTTTAGAACACATTCAGGGTGATGGGTTTTGTTAGTGATGTCAGTGGGTGGCATCAGTCTTCCGCAGAGAGGAAATTGCGTTCTCCCGTCATGGCCACACACTATAGCGTGTTTATCTTTTGTCTTTCAGCCCCTGTGTCAGCAGGGTGATTCAGGTCGAGCCACAGGCCTACACAGAGCCTCACAGTAACACCCGTTACAGCCCCCCACCCCCCTACAGCAGTCATAGCTTTGCCCACGAAACACACATCACCATGCAGTCCACTGTCCAGCTTCGCACAGAGTACGACCCTCACACACACGTGTACTACACCACTGCTGAGCCGCGCTCTGAGATCTCTGTCCAGCCGGTCACCGTCACCCAGGACACTCTCAGCTGCCAGAGCCCTGAGAGCACCAGCTCCACCCGGGACCTGCTTTCCCAGTTCTCGGACTCCAGCCTCCACTGCCTTGAGCCTCCCTGCACCAAGTGGACACTCTCCTCATTTGCTGAGAAGCATTATGCGCCTTTCCTCTTGAGACCCAAAGCCAAGGTAACCTACCACTAAGTGTGACTTCCTGCCTTGAAGAACCATGGCACACTTTGGACTGCGTGCATGTGTGTGACAGGACAGGCTCACAAGAGTCAGATTGCAAAGCTCAGGCCTACTTTCATGAGTGTGTTCCTACAGGGGGAGGCTCTGAATAGCAGATAATAACACCAATATAAATGAGCTCCTCTCTGTATAAACATTTTTCTTTGTTGTGAGATTACTTTAAAAGATGATTTAGCATGGCGTTATGTTCTCTGGGAGACTGACCACCTAACTTCCCATGCTAAGTCTGGGCTGTTATGTAAAAAGGAGTAAAGAAAGCAGTTGGTACTAGCCTGGGAAGAATGTTCTTCTGGGTCTCACCCACTACCCCCCTCTCTCTCTCTTACAGGCTGTGGTAATCCTCCTTTTCCTGGTCTTGCTGGGGGTCAGCCTTTACGGGACCACCCGAGTGAGAGACGGGCTGGACCTCACGGACATTGTCCCCCGGGAAACCAGAGAATATGACTTCATAGCTGCACAGTTCAAATATTTTTCTTTCTACAATATGTATATAGTCACCCAGAAAGCAGACTACCCAAATATCCAACACCTACTTTACGACCTTCATAAGAGTTTCAGCAATGTGAAGTATGTCATGCTGGAGGAGAACAAGCAACTTCCCCAAATGTGGCTGCACTACTTCAGAGACTGGCTCCAAGGTAGGGCTGTGGACAGTCCTGTCACTCTTCACTCTCACCTGCTGTGATCCTTCTGTCCACCATATGAAAGGGTTGCATCAAAATGGAACAACATGTTTCGTAATTTTTAAGACGCCTATTTTATGTGCATGTGTGTTTTTCCTGCTTGCTTGTGTACATGTATCTATGCATGTGTGTGTACCTCACGTACACGCTTGGTGCCTGAGGTCAGAAGAGGGCATCACATCCGCTGGAACTAGAGTTGTGGGTGGTTGTGAACCAACACGTGGGTGCTGGAAACCAAGCCCAGGTTCTCTGCAAGAGCAACAAGTGCTTGTAACTGCCGGCGCCTCTCCAGTCTCCCTTACATAAAGGCCACTTCTCTGGCAGCCTCCCAGCTCTGTCTTTAAAAACTTGAGACCATCCGAGCAAGTCTTCTAGTAACTCATTTATGAGCATACATTGGGAAAAGACATTTGAATTTGAAAATAGGGAGCCTGGATGCTTCTGTTCCCATTTTCCTTTGGAATGGTAGCTGGTGGCCAAGGGAAATTTGAGTATTTAGTGGATTTCTGAACTGTCTGCTAAATTACAGCCTACTGTTAACAGTGGATTTGGGGTCACCCATTGCATTTTGACCTTCTTTTTAATTTTCATGCATATACTTAGGGTTCATAGCAAATTTGAGTGGAAGGTTTAGCGATTGCTCGCTTCCACCCAAGCCTTTTCTTGTGTCAACATCCAACACTAAAATGGTGTGTATGCTTCACCCTTCAAATTACCCATACACACCATTGTCTCTCAAAGAGCTTCAGGTGACCATTCTTCCATTTGGTGATGAACTTACAAATGCTTAGCCACATCCTGCTGTTTCAGAAAGGGGCAAATCCTGACCCCCTCTCACTCTTTTCCTTTCTCCCTCTTTCTCCTTCTCTCTCTCCCACCCTCTCCATTTTATCTATTGATTTTGTGTGTGAGGTATCTCTAGATAGGATAGTGTGAATGAATATTGAGGCCAGAAGACAGCTTTCGTCCTTTCACCTTATGGGTCCTAGGGATCAAAAATTCATCAGGTTTGGTGATCTTTACCCTGTTAGACATGTCTCTAGGAAATATCATTTAGCTGGAGAAAAATACAAGACGGTCTGAATTTGCTTATAACTGTAAACTGACTGACTATAAATGCATTCAGTGGTTCCCAGAACGTCTGTTCATGTTGACATACTCAAAGCACAGTAGAACAATCAGGACCATTATCCACACAATTCAAGCAAATTTGCTTTTATTGGAGTGCCCAAATAAATAATTACAACTCCAGCATTTGTGGCTGTCTTAATTTCCCCTTAATTAGGCTTGCTTAAACACATATTTAAGTCAGTACTCTTATGTAAAGATCAGGCAGCCAGTTTCCGTTTGAGTCTGCATTAGATGATGAACAACTTGGTTTGACAGGAATGGTGTTGAGCAGTGACTAGAGTTTGCTCACACACCTGTGCCAGGTCCAACTTTGGGGGACAGTGGAGGAAGCATCACTTTATTGCAGCCCTGGAAACTCAGGAGATGAGCTTGAATTCACTCAGCATATTATTTCCTTGCACTTGGTCCTTAAGGCATTGTTTTTCAAGTAGTGAATTAACAGAGACAAGCAGTTGAGAGTCTCTGCTTTTTACCCCCACCCCACCACCCCCAGCATTGACCAAAGACATGCAAATAATTTGCCACAAATGACAAAGAAGTGCTGTGCTTAGTGGAGGAGGGTATTCTGTCCGGTGTCTTCCCTTGGATGAAGTAGGCCAAGGCTGGGAAGGGTGCTGCAAACCCTGGCTCTAGGCAGTTTGAAGGCCATCCTTCTTAAGACAGTGCTAGTCTATAGTCTCACTCCTTGTAAGACCCCAAACGTTCACATGTGTAGAAAGACATCTGTATATTTCAGATATGCTTCCGTTGCTAAGCAAACAGCATCTGCATCTGCACGCTAAGATGGCAGAGCACAATGCAGCCCTGGGGCTGTAATGCCGTAGGGGCCCCCCACACTGCATTGTGCACACTGGGCTCCTGGCCGCTGAGGGTGTTTTAGACCTACTGAGTGGATGGATGGTTGCTCAGGAGGAAGCAGCTCTTCTCAAATTACCATTTCTTCCAGATACTTGTATGTAGTGTTGAAGTCCATTAAACTATGCTGTCTCACTGGTCTTTGTCAACACTTCAATAGCTGCTTTGTTTTTGCACTCCCCAAAAATATTTAATGGCTAACACAGGGATTATCTCATGCCACTTTGAAAGTCAGGCCTGGGGTAGAACCCAGGGCAACACTCTGCCTCCAGCTGCGTTGTGTACAGATGGCATTCATTTGTAATCCATTATCATTTCATTTCTTGGGGCTTGTATATTTGGGTAATTCCTTCAGCCTAGACTCAGAAATAATTTTCTGTGTAAAATGTTTCTAGTGAGAGAACTGCAGCTGAAATGTAAGGCTTTGCTGTAAACTGTTGGAATGTAAGTGTCAGCCAAGGGGCAAGTGTTCGGTGTCCAGCCCATGGTAGTTGAGATTTTCAGTGGTTAGAAAATATTGAACTAGTCGTGAAAGAACTTTACTAATCATAAAGTCAGTAGCTGCAGAGCACATCGGAGCCAGCACTGGCAGCAAGGCAGACCGTGCAAATCTAATCTTCCCTGGCCTCCGTAGGTAGTGCAGGTGTCTCTTTGTAAATAGACCTTTGCAAATGCATTTTGTTGTTGTTGTTACCTGCTTTGACACCAGGTGCCACTGGTGTGGCTCATGGTACTTGGGCTAAGGTACTGCTATTTTCCATGCGTTTGCAATCACTTCTGGACAGCACACAGTACTCAGAGTGGGTTTCTACAGTAAATAACACACTTGATGTCTGGCTTTGGGCTGCCTGGGTTCAAGGCTCAGCTCTGACTCTCACCTTTCCAGGCCTCAATTCTCTCATCTAAAAAGTGGGAATGATAATGCTAATTGCTCTCTCAGGAGGTAAGCATTAGAACTGACCGAGGGCTTATGGTGGATTGCCTGGAGTAGGACATGAGCACTGAGCCAAGAGGACCACACAAGTCTGGAGTAATAAAAGCTTCCTTCTCTCCTGGCTTAGAAAACAGACCATGCCTCTTGTACGGGGTTGGGGAGCAGTTGTCCTCCTCTGTTTGTTTGTTTGTTTGTTTGTTTGTTTTTCCAGAGTGGGGGTTGGGAAGGGTTTGGGGTAATAAAGTAACATCTGCGAAGTTGCTGCCTATGTGCAGACCTTGCTGTGAAAGAGTCGGAGACCAAGATGCCACCGTAGTGGTCCACCTTACTGATTCCTCCAGTCCAGAACAGGGCGCAAGGGTGGCCCAGCCTACTTCCTAAAAATAATGCCCACAGCATAACAGTGTTGGAGGGAGGCTTTTGTTTTATGGGGCTGCCCCATCTCTTACCACTCCAGGTCCCCAAACACCTCGCTGAGTGAGTATTTTAGTTTGTTTTAGTTTTTGAAGTCTCTCCACCCCCATCCTGAAATTATGTGAAAAGCAGCTCTCTGAGTAGCAGTGTCTAACACAGGAGTCTCCTGAACAGCTGGGACTTGGGGGTCTACTTGGGAGGTGACTGGTAAGCAGGGCTGCTGGGGGTGTTGGGGCAGTGCTGAGCCCCTAAGTCTGGGGCACTGGGACCCTGTTTTCTCTTCCAACATGCTTACCTCTTTACAGCTGTAGCCAAACTGTCAGGTCCATAATGATGGTTTTGATTACAGCAGCCAAGCCCAGCTGTGTGTGGTGAGCTGGTGGGCTCACCCATCCCCCAAGCCCATAAGGCTCTTTCTTTCCACCTCCCAGGGCTTGTGGTTTGTCATCTGTTCTCACAGAGCCTCCTTGTATTGGCCTGTGGCTTCCTGTTCTCCAACAGATCCAAATTTGCCCTGTGAGGTATTTCCCTCTCCTCGTTACCCCCCTCCATGTGGAGGGAAGGGTGGCAGAGAGGAAGAGAACAGAGGAGAGTGAATAAGTATTGGCTGTGATCTTTACACGACTTGGCGGTGGGATCCCACAGCTTGTATGAGCTGCCTAAGTCCAACAGATGGATCAGATTGACAGAGTGTTCCCTCACCCCAGCTCCTGGGGCAACTGAGCTGCTGTTGGAAGTTGGGGACACAAATGTGATTTTACTATGCTGGGTAGAATCTCTGGTCCTAATGAGGAAATCCTGACATCACTCCCTCTGTAGCATGAAATGGTTAATGTGAATGTGATGTGTGTCTTTCTTCTCCCCCTTGCTTCCTCTTGCTGGAATAGTCATGGGGGATGAGCGTTGAGCCAGCCCAGCACTTAGGAGGCAGAGTCAGGTGGATTTGTTAGTTCTAGGCTAGCCTGATCTACATAGTGAAGTCAAGATGTAGGCCAAGCTGGGATACATAGTGAGGCCTTTCTTTCCTTCTTCCTTCCTTCCTTCCTTCCTTCCTTCCTTCCTTCCTTCCTTCCTTCCTTCCTTCCTTTTTCTTTTGGCAGGGTTTCTCTGTGGAGCTCTGGCTGTCCTGGAACTCACAGATCTGCACGCCTCTGCAATTAAAAACATGTGCTACCATGCACCCCTCCCCTTTCTTTTCATGTTTTCTTAAAAAAAAAAAAATTGTTCTTAATTGTGTGCATGTATGAACCTATAGAGGCCAGAAGAGGGCGTCACCTCTGGAGTTGGAGTTATAGTCGGTTGTGTGCTCTCCAGAGTGGCTTCTAGGGTCAGAACTTAGATCCTCTGGAAGAACTGCAAGTGGTCTGAGCCATCTCTCCAGCTCTTGGACTTTTGTTCCTGAGCAGCAATTGATTGGCACCGAAGTTCATTCATGAACAGTACGCAGTCCTCCCTTAAGTGAGAGAAAGCTACAGACAAGTCCCCTGCCCTGCCCACCAGCCTCAGCAGAGGCCCTCGGACAAGCGCTCTCAGTCCAGGTTTTAATGTGCTGCACATGTTTGCTGTTAACAGGGCTTCAGGATGCATTTGACAGTGACTGGGAAACTGGGAGGATCATGCCAAACAATTACAAAAATGGATCGGATGACGGGGTCCTTGCCTACAAACTCCTGGTACAGACTGGCAGCCGAGACAAGCCCATCGACATTAGTCAGGTGAGCCACTGTTCCCCGGGCACTGTCAACAAACAGCACCTTCTAGGCAGCTGACCTATGGCAGTGTGTCATCCCAGCTTGTGTTCCGTTAGAACCTGAAGGGATAGGAGATGGTAGGAAGAGGCTTGGGCTGGCCCTGAGCCTTCTTATCCAATCGTCTACCTGATGTGTCCTCAAGCCAACCAGAAAGCTTCCCTTTCCCTGCCTGTCAAGTTGAGGGGGCAGGTGTTGGCTTCTATCATAGTAGCAGTGAGCAAAATACAGTGTTGAAAGTTCAGGTTTTTCCCAGTGGTGGGAAGAACCAACTCATTCTGGGCTTTCAGAGTTTAATACTGAAATGTGTATCAGTATAGTTGTCTCGGTTGTATTCAGACATGGAGTGGTGGATTTGTTAGTCATTTGAACAGAGGGTGGATAGGTGGATGGCTTAAGAAGATCAAAGAGGTCACTAGAACTGTAGGAGGATGTATTTTTATTTAATGCTTTGTGGGGTTCTCTTGGCCCTAACAGTAGATGCTGAGTACAGGCAGCTTGTGTCCTGAGTATAGCAAAGAGAAGCATGTACGGGTTCATGTGTGTACACACATGCTGCTCACTCCTCAGTATAAATGAGAGATGTTCTTTTTGATAGCGTTCTGTGTTTGAAGCACTTGGGCTCTAGCATACCCTTTTGGCTCCCTCAGGCATGTTCAGTGGTATGTTTGCACCCTGGATTTTGGGTGAGCCTAGGTCTCTTTGCTCCTGATAGTTTCCTTTTTGTGTCTTCAGGCAGAAACATTATGTTAATGATCTTCTGGGCAGCTCTGTGTGTATTGTCTTCTCCTTTTTACTGGCATTAAAGGTGACAGACTTACAAAGTTAATTTTTAGAGTCATGTAGAGTGTGAACTTTGGTCTATATAGTGGCATGCAATGGGCTGTCAAGGCTGACAAGGGCATGGCAGAGCAGCCTGCCTGAGAGGGAAGCAGGGACACACTGAATTGGAGTTAGGGATCAGGGAGCCTCTGGTGGCGCTAGGCACCAAGATACCATTTCCTCTCCTGAGAAAGAAGAGCATGCTGCCTGCGTGGAGGCCAGGAGCTGTGCGATGTAATTCCAGTGACAGTCTGAGGACCTACAGTTGTTAGAGATCCCATGGATTAATTGAATCCAGATCCCTGCTGTCTACTTTTCCCCTTCTCTTCCATGCTCTTTATTTCTCCACTCTTTCTCTGTGAACTGCTGTCACTGGTGTTTTTCATTTTGTTAAAAAAGACCAAACGTTGGAAGGAGGCCTGGATCTAAAGTAAACAGGAAAAAAATTTTTTTTGATGTATCTACCATACATATAATCCACACTCTGTCTCATAGTGTCTTTGACCCAAGCAAAGCCCACAAGACCTACAAGTAGAGGGAGCAGATGTGACCACTGAATCTGACCGAGGCTCAGAAGTGGTGTTCCTCTGTAGGGCTTGGCTTTGCAGCACTGTCTTCCACTTTCTGGCAGTGGGCATTTTTTGAATACACAGGTCATTGGAGGCTATGTTAGCAAAATTTATACAGATGTTGTTTTATTTTATAGCTCCCTCCATTTACTGGGTGGTATTTCCTTCAGTGTTAACAACAGAGGTTAACTGCACACAGACGTGGACGGGATGCTTGCCAGGTCCCCTGCCCCTCCTATAAATATGTTTTTCCAGATTGCTCATTCCCCGCCTTGGCTGTAGACAGTCTTTTTTAGCATTCAGATTTAATTGGTTCAGCCAATTCCTGGGCCATCTGCAGAACTGTGTGTTTGCTGTAAACACACTGGTGATTGCATACCCCAGTAAGTGTATTTTGAAAGACATCAAAGTTTATTCTTGTGGGACCTGAGGCACTGTCAAGCCATGGGCATTCTACTGTTTGTTGGAAACATGGGTACAAAGCCTTGCTCTCCCAGCAGGAGTGTGTTTACCCCTTGGCCCCGCTCTGAATGACCTCTGTTCTTCCCATTTTGTAGTTGACTAAACAGCGTCTGGTGGATGCAGATGGCATCATTAATCCCAGCGCTTTCTACATCTACCTGACGGCTTGGGTCAGCAACGACCCCGTAGCTTACGCTGCCTCCCAGGCCAACATCCGGCCTCACCGACCAGAGTGGGTCCACGACAAAGCCGACTACATGCCAGAGACCAGACTGAGAAGTAAGTAGCCATCTATCTAGAGAGTCAGGGAGCTCTAGAAGGCTCCTTTAGTCACTGCCTGGAGCTCAGCAACAGCCTCATCCGTTGACACTACCCAGGGTTCAAAAGTGTAAATAGAACAATATATTTCTTTTGGTTTAAAACTCTGGGAGACAGATGAGGATGTGTAATGGAATACAGCCCTGCACATTCACGTTGAGAAATAAGCGTTTCTAACCTCCTTTTGTAGCTTTAACTCCAGGCACTTCTCCTGATGCCAGCTGTTCCATGTGAAAGTTGGGGACGCCTCCACATTGAGTGTTATTTTACTATTGCAGAGTTTTATCGCTAGGGATTATATGTTTATGTTAACTTTGTCAACTCTGGTGTTGGAGGGATTTTTGGCATGCTGGGTCATTTCTGTAAGCCACCGAGCACCTGTGCTCCGTCAGAGCTGTTTAAACTGGAGAAGAAAAGTCTATATACATCAGTGTTCTCGTCTTCCCTTCACCTCTAAGCCTAGGGTTTGAAAGGTAGCTCTGTGTGGATTTAATTTGCATTTATGTTAGCAATGTTAGTAGCAGCATGTGCTTTGGATATTGGGCCAAGAGAAGACATGAGCAAGAAGACAGGTCCTTTTGCAAACAAGGCAGGCAGCAGTCTGAACTCCTCCCCTGTACCTAAACCCCAGAGCCTGGTGGCACGCAGCCAAGGCTTGTCTTAATGAAAATTTATAGTTGAGATTATAATAGGGCAAATCATGTTTAGCAAGTCAACTGAATGACCCCAAAGGGTGTGGAACACACAAGGGCAGTAACTAAATGCTTGTTGCGTGAGGATTTCTTCCCCTCTTGCTGAAGACTTAGCATTGCATAGAAAAGCGGGGAAGGTTTAAATTGCTAGCTCACTAAAGGACAGGAAAGTGAAGTGGTTTTTTGTTTGTTTGTTTTTTTGTTTTGTTTTCTGCAAGGCATGACTCTGGGGTTATTTTGGTTTTTATAATGGTCAAGGAGAGCAGATTGAATGTGGAAACAAAAAAGTATTTTTAGCATTTAAGTCTTATGGCATTGAGACCTCTCACAAATGGTAGTTGCTTCTGGGATAATAAAATCAAAGGCTTTAAAAGGAGAGAGATCACAGGCCTTCCACTACCCACCCAACTCTTAACCCTTGCCACCACTAAATAAAAATCAAAGGTTGATTATGGGCTGGGGAGATGGCTCAGTGGGTAATGAGCTTGCCACACAAGCATGAGGACCCGGTTTAGATTTCCAGAACCCACTTAATTAAGGCTGGGTGTGGTGTCATATCTGTAATCTCAGTGCACATGGCAGGATGGGGCACTCCAGAGCTAGCTAGCTTTGAATATACAGCAGCAAACGGTAGGAGACTTTTCATGAGGAACGTAAGAGGAGGAATGTTAATTATTAGTGAGAAATTTTAAACCAACTGTGACTACTGTAAAAGGCCCCTGGAGTCATGTATTGTTTGTCTTTTTTTTTTAGAAGAAAGGTAACGGGGGAGCTTTCTTGAAGGTCTTCTCACTTCGCACTCACTGTCTGGGGAGTTGGGAGCAGAGACTCTCCCATCAAGGGCCCTTCTCTCCCTTCTTACCCTGCTTCTCCTCTGTCCAGTACCAGCAGCAGAGCCCATCGAATACGCTCAGTTCCCTTTCTACCTCAACGGCCTACGAGACACCTCAGACTTTGTGGAAGCCATTGAAAAAGTGAGAATCATCTGTAACAACTACACAAGCCTGGGACTGGCCAGCTACCCCAATGGCTACCCCTTCCTGTTCTGGGAGCAGTACATCAGTCTGCGCCACTGGCTGCTGCTAGCCATCAGCGTGGTACTGGCCTGCACGTTTCTGGTGTGCGCAGTCTTCCTGCTGAACCCCTGGACGGCTGGGATCATTGTGAGTTTATTATAAGGGTCTTTATGGAACTCGGATTCCTTTCAGCACAGCTCTTGCTGTAGCCGGGGAAGTTTTGTTTATGTCTGGGCCTTTGGAGAAGGCGGGTATGGATTGCATCATCTGTAAGATATTTATTCTACTTGAGGTGGTGAGGTTCATGGAGAAGGTAGAGCCTCTCATGCCAGAATCTGGGTCCCCTCTCACACAGCATTAAAACATGCATAGGGTCTTTGTAAGCACACTGCATAAAAGCACTGAAAATTTACCAAGTAAAAATAACAAAAGCATAACTAATTTTCCAATTCTAAAGTCTCATTGTGTGTCCTCCCAGACCTAAGAATTTGTAGCAAGTTCTTCTGTGTGTACGGTAGAAGTGTGCACAGAGGAAGTTGGACAAAAGTGCAGGGGTGAGGATGGCACTCAGGCCTCTGTGCACCACGTGCACCTTATCTCCTGGAGGAGAAATGATGAACTGCCACTCAAAGTCAGTCTGGGGTGTCTTTTTTCCACATTACCCTCAGATTTGAAGTCAGTTGTGCGTAGTCTGAAATCCTGGCATTGCTTTAAGTTCTGTGAACTGTGGCGATAGCCTTTAAAATGCCAGAACTGTAAAAACAGGTTGTGTTTCTGAGTTGAGTCTGGGCAGCAGGTACATTAAAGGTAAATGTTTAGTCTGCAGATGTCTTCACAGCACTTAAGACATGGATGGTGTCCATCTTCCGCCATTTCTCCAGACTTCTGCCACCATCTGCTGCCCTAACCCCAAGCAGGGAAGATGATTTTCTTTTTCTCCATGTGGTGAAAGTCAGGGAGGCTCATGAGAACCTCCATGGTTCTGAACCAGTATTCTCCTCCAAAGTCTACCTTGCAGCTTTTCTTACCATTTCTCCACACGTTTTCACAGGGAAGGTGAAAGACTCCTCAAAGCCTTTGTTTAGACCTAAGGGTCTGCTTTGGGGATCCTAGTTGTTCCCCCTCTCCTCAGAGCACAGAGGTGCCATCACCTGACACGTGGCCACTGATGGCCTAGGCTCCCAAGTCTCTTCCTTTGTTCGTGGGCTCTCCAGCCAGAGCACCGCACCTGACCCACACAAACTTTATTCACCCATCTGACCAGCTTTCTATAGGCTGCAACCTGTACCAATAGAAGTCCTGGATATGAGCCCAGGAAGGGTTAAAGGGTTACCGTTCTAGAGCTCAAGGTTAAAAAGCTTGGTTGTAAACCACAGTTGTCCTAGGTGTTGGCTGCAGGACCCCTGTGTGCAGGCTCCCCCGTGTGCAGGCTCCCCCAAGGCTCAAGTCAGGTATATTAGCAGTACAGTATTTGCATGTGACCTGTGACGTCCTCCTCTATCCTGAATGATCTCTAGTAACATACAATACTTAATACAGTGGAAATGCTGTGTTGCTGATGATGGAATAGTGACAGGATGGAATGTGCTCAGTGGTAGCTTAATCCTTTGTGGATGGCTCCGATGTGTGGTCCCTTTATTTTTCCCTTTCTGAGATAGGAAAGGGCACTAAACTGGTGGATTAAAAGCTAGCTCAGCCACTGAAGTACTTAATGTACAAAGCTGGGTGTGCATGGCACTAGGCATGGTGCTGTGGGGACCAGGGAGGCGGAAACAGGAGCATGCCTGGCCGGCCACCCTCATCAGTGTATCTCAATAACATGAGGGGAACAACACCCAGGCTTTCCTTCTGGCACACGTGCACACAGATGCATGGACACACAAATGCATGTACACAAACCCATAAACATACACACAAACACCCCATTTTTAGCCTGACTGACAGGAAGTTGCCCAAATATCTCCCTTCCAGAAGAAAGTTGAGGTGCAAGACAAGTTGTCCGGAGGTAAAGGAAGTCAGTGCTTTCCTAGTATTTAGTTGACAGGTGTGTTACTGCTCCCCCTCAGAGGACACCACCCTGGGGCTGTTGATTTGCACTCTCTAGCACCCCTGGCAGACCCTGTGCCCTGTGACTGACTGTGTGTTACTTCTTTGAGGTCATGGTCCTGGCTCTGATGACCATTGAGCTCTTCGGCATGATGGGCCTCATTGGGATCAAGCTGAGCGCTGTGCCTGTGGTCATCCTGATTGCATCCGTCGGCATTGGAGTAGAGTTCACCGTTCACGTGGCCTTGGTACGGGAGGCTCTTGGGGGAGGTTGGCCGACACCGGCAGGGCAAAGGGATCTGTCACAGGGACAGCTTCAAGCACAGCTTTTCTGAGGAGGTCTGAAGTGTGAGTGATGAGAGACATGGAGAGTGCATTGGAGAGGCCTTCGAGGGCTCCAAAAGATGGTGTCACCTGGTGCTGAGGTTGCCACTGTTGTCCCAGGACAGTCTGTGTGCTTAGGCAGACATCCACAGTGTTTTAAGTACAGTCATAAAGTGGGGATAAAACAAGACCACCCTCAGAGGCTTGGTGGTGGGGCTAGCTTAATTGAGGGTGTGGTAGCTGGCAGCCTCAGAAACACCCTAGGGCCTGTGACTGGAAGCGTGGTGCACAGCCCTGAAGAGCCTGCGCTTCCACCTCAGCCCACCCAGCTCTGCAGACCTTCCAGCCTCTGCATGCATCCATGGCAGCAGGAAACAAGCTGGGCTGCGCTCGCCACGACCTTGGCCCTCTTTCTTTATACACTTCCTTGTTGTTGGAAGGAATTAACCCAAAAGAGAGTATAGAATCCAAAAGGTGAGCCACCTGTACACACTGTTGAGAAAACTAGTTAAAAGTCTTGATACACTGTACAGTTTAATTTCTGCCTACAAATGTGCTTACAGCCTAAGTCTCCAGGGCTGTTGGCAGGCATACAGTAAATAGTACTGACTGAATTAGATGCTGGGTTTTGGAATGCCCACGTTGGGAAACCCAGCTCTGTGCCTGAACCAAGTGATGGCCGTTAGCGGTGCTTTTCCAGCATTGTTCTTTGGGTGCAGTATGTGGTGTGTGCCCTCTGTAGCCTCTGGGAGCTGCCATTGCTCTCACAGGTTGTGGACCTAGAAGTGTGAGTGAGAGAGAACCGTGCATGCATGTGTGTGTGGGTGCCCTGCCTGTGGACATACTGTTACTGAGGCACCAGTCAGGTCACCTTGTTTTCTAGGACAGACCCTCTCGCTGGCCTGGAGCTCACTAAGCTAGGCTGGCTGATAGCAAGGTCCAGGGATCTGCCTGTCACCATTAGAAGCCTAGACCACTTGGTTTTGTTCACATAGGCACCATCACCAACTCTGGCTCGATACTATGAACAGGCCATTTAGGGAATCCAGGTCCAACAAGACCAAGTACCACACAAAACCAGACAAAACCAGGCATGGTAGTGCACACCTGTAAACCGCAGCACTCCAGAAGCACAGAGGAGTAAGTTCAAGGTCATTCTAGTATAGTAGTGAGTTTGAGGACAGTCAGAAATACATGAAAAAAAAAATCAACCAAACCCAAGTATAGACAGAGCTGAGCACTGCTCCACATGCAGACCGTGACAATCTCAATTCTTCTTTGCTCAGGCCTTTCTGACAGCCATTGGTGACAAGAACCACAGGGCTATGCTTGCCCTGGAGCACATGTTTGCTCCTGTTCTGGACGGCGCTGTGTCCACTCTCCTGGGGGTACTGATGCTTGCAGGGTCCGAATTTGACTTCATTGTCAGGTAAGCAGAAGTGAACAGGAGACGTGGTAAAGAAATCATTCTTGTGTTTGTGGCTTGTTCCTTCTTTATCTGGTAGGTGGCAGCATCTCAACCTGTCCCTCACAGTCACCCTTATCTAGCAGTATCTTGGGAGACACCTGGGAAAGGGTTAAAGTAGAGACAACTCCACAGCTTGATGCTAGAATCACATGGTGTCCCATGTGTCAAGTCCAGTTGCAAACATCTACAGAAGGGTGACTTGTGGCTTTTGATAATTAATGATGTTCAGCTTTTGTTCCCTCTCCTTCAGAACTGGGGGACATGGCTCAGTGGGATGCATGGAGCCTTGGGTTCTATCTCCCACAATACATGGAACAGGTGTGAGTGGCTCAGCTCTATAATCCCAGTCCTTGGCTCTAAATTGAGTTTAAAGGCAGCAGAGATGGATGCATGAGCCTTAAAGCAGACTGTAGAAAGAAAACTTAGTGGACCTCCAGTATACCAAGCTAGTATACCTAGCTCTAAGCATCACACAGGAAATGAGTACAGTGTACCCAGATTTTGTGTTTGGGTCACTTCTGAGGCCTCATAAATGCTGAACACCTGACGGAAGGCTCAAATTTAGAGATGCCAAGCCTGGCTTGTGTACTCCTCTTCCCATCACAAGGCAGGTTTTTGTTACTTTGTTCAGGTAAGATGGTAACTTTGCAAAGTGTAAAGGACACCTCCTTTATAAGAGAGAAATAACCCTCTGGCTTCTCTGGATGAAAATCATGAGCCACTGTAAAGAGGCAAAGCCAGTACAGGCAATAAGTAAGGTACTAGCGTGTTGTTCAAGTGAGGCCAAACCCAGAGGATGGGTAGGGTGCTGCATGTCTGGAGAGCTAACCTAACCAAGCTGTTCTTGGTAGCATGGTTTGGTTTTCTTTATTGCAAATCTTGGAAACAGGATTGCTCTGTGCTTCCCTGGCTGGCCTAGCTGCTCTTCAGAGCACTTTTTAGGAAAAGCTGGAAAGGGTGACAAAGACAAGAAAATGCTTTTTTACAGGTTAGGTGTCCTTGTTTTTGTTTGTTTATGAAACAGGTGTCATGTAGCCCAGGCTTACCTCCAATGCATGTAGCAGAGAATGACTTTGAACTGTTGACTGTCCTGCCTCAGCCTCCTAAGTGCTAGAACTATAGGTATATGCTGCCACATCTGGCTGTAGTCACGTTTTCCATGTGCACACACATGAGCCGGCCAAGTAGGGGGAGTTGGCCTTTTCAGATAAAAAGGATATTTAGCTCACCGTTTTAGCTGAAGATCAATACAATAACTAGTTATGCTAGGGCTGTAGCTCAGTGATATACCAAGCACATGGGGCAGAGGAAGAAAAGAAGAGGAGGCGAGTCTATTGATGAGTCTTGAGGCACAATAGCTCATTGTGTATCCAAGCTTCCAGGGTGTGTGGTTGGCTGTTTGCTGGAAGAGTAAGCAGAGGGTGACTCCATTTCAGTGCAGACCAGCACTCTTACATAATAGGCTTCTTCGCCATCTGGAGCTGTTAAAGTGCAGCTTGACACAGGCCTTTCCATCGGCTCCCAGGTGAACCTGAGGCCGCTGGTCTTCACACAGCCTATTGATAAGCCTACTGAACCAATCAGTAGATTCTCATTTGGCAAATACCACTGAGATAGTTGCTTTAACTTAGATCCTGGGTTAGGTTTGTTTTGTTGTAAACTGTTGTTTGTTTGTTTTAAACTGTTTATTTCCTCTGCCAATACTGGCTTTGCCTTTTTGATATAAAAGCCCAATGCCAAATGACACTTCTTTGGCATGGTCTCCTAGCTCTTCCAACATGAAGGCAAAGCCAGTCTCACAGATGCCTGTGTTTTTTTGTTTGTTTGTTTGTTTGTTTTTTAATGCTGGCAAGTAGCATGTAACCCATGCTGCTGTGTGCTTATGGTCTGCAGGTATTGGGGGATACAAGTCTCTCCAGGCAGTTTAAAGTCAAGAGAATTGCAGGGTGTGCTGGGACCTTGCAGGTCAGCTGAGGCAGCAGTGAACAGCTTTGCAGAAGCTTTCCCCTCATCCTGTCCTACCTGGGCCTGCTCAACCCCTCCCAGAGATATCAAGGTTCCTGTTTCAAGCACTTAGAAGGGCTTCCCATTTTCTAAAATAGGATGGATAAAGTCCTCTCTGGAGTCAGATAAATGAGCAGACACTGTATACATGAAACTGTCAGAAATCTAATTGGTCTGTTTAGGTTGCAGCTAGATAAATGGGATGCAAATGTCTTAATGCCTGCCGCTGATATATGCCTCCCCCAAAAGTTCCACAGTTTATGTTAGAGCAAGACACTGACAGCCTGAGTTTTTGCTAATGCAACTCAGCAGGTTTTAGTGTTTACAATAGCTAGAAGGTATTTGTACTTTTATAGGGATTCTCTCTCCTTTCATCTGATGTCAAAACATACATACACATAGCATTGTAGGGTGGCTGTTCAGGTTTATGATCCAGAGGACCATTAACACAGATAGATATCTAGTCTTCTCTCTTTATTTTCCAGAACATCCTAACCCCCACCCCCAGCCCCTACCCACTTCCATCAAAGCCCTAGAAATCATTAGTTCCAGAAAAGCATCCTTGCGTGGAGTGTGTGCCCTCCAGCTGTGCAGAGCGCTGACCAGAGGCGGGCCCTAGCTGACAGGTTTACCTTGGTATTCTTGAAGGATCCCAGACCTTTAGCCCTCAATGGTGGGAACGCAGAACTCGCTGTTCGCTCTCCCTCTTCTGCCATGGTGCTTCAGTCTTTATGTTTGAATTGGCTGACGCAAAACAAGAGTATTCAAAGATGCTAAATTGTTCAACAAAAGATCGGCCTGCAGAGCAGCCCTGCATTGTGGAGTGCCCTCGCCCTGCACAATGCCATGGCTCCCACAGAATGGGCAGCGTTTTCTTTGCAGAAAGCTGGTTCCTGTGTTCTAAAAAGGTTGCAGTTGGAGCTATTTGGTAAAACTGGAACCCAGAGAATTCTAGGCAGAAAGTTGTGATTAATGAAAGCCCAGGGAAAGCCTTACCTGCTGTACTTAGAGACTTAATTAGAGATTCTGCCGTAAGAGGCAAGGGCATTTCACAGTGGATTAGCTGCCTGCAGAAGCGGGCTGCTTTTCCTCCTGGGCCAAATTGTTTAAATTCTCCACCCTTCACTTCATTTGTTTGCTTCTGCTGGGTTTCCGTGAGAGGGGCCCCTCGGCATTGTATCTGTGCTTTCAGCTTGTTCAGCCATTCAGTTCACATTCCATATTTCTGTGTTGGTGTAGCACGTTCATAAATAACATTACAGGCATGAGATGTCAGCAAATTAACTAATTTTTTTTCTCTTTGTGAATTAACACTGTAGGGTATGGAAGGTAGTCCTCAGAGTCATAGGGTTAAAAAAGAACAAAGTCTCAAACTGATCTTGTGCTCAGTTTGAACTATGGTCTCTGTAGATGACTCCAGCAGGGTGGGTCGTTCAGTGGCGCTCTCAATGCTCTCCTTTCACATTGACAGGTCCAGTATCCCTTTTGTCTTCCAGATACTTCTTTGCTGTCCTGGCTATTCTCACCGTCCTGGGGGTTCTCAATGGACTGGTTTTGCTGCCCGTACTCTTGTCCTTCTTTGGACCATGTCCTGAGGTCAGTGATTGCCCAGGGTGAGAGGTTCACCCCACAGGTCACCTGCCCTCCCCAGTGCCACTCCTGATTCAGATACTCAGGTGCTACTGTATTCGCTGGTGGTGTGGGCTCTGCAGTAAGCACCCAGGGACAATGGCTGTCTCCCTTTTCCCTCTGACAGTTCAGGCTGCGGCCCGTAGAGCTGTGTTATGTTTTAGACCAGCTGATGGCAGCTTTAGTCTTGGAGATATGTGAAGGTTGGTTTTCTACACCAGATAAGTGTTTGGGCTTTACAGGACAAAACAGATAAAAGACACCTATCCTGCCTTTCTGGTGTTGGAACACGGGGCAATATTCTGGTGCCAGAATCTTGAGGGTCTTCCAGATAGCAAGAAGAAAGGAAGTAGATACAGTGCAGTGTGGGGTTCCTGTCAGGTGACAGAGGCTGATGAATAACTCTGGCTTTGAACTTTGAAACTGGCCAATAGATAAGCATATGTAACACTTCTAATCGAGAAGAAACAAATGTTCCACTTCTAATCGGGAATCCGCCTAAATAGGTGTCTCCAGCCAATGGCCTAAACCGGCTGCCCACCCCTTCACCTGAGCCGCCCCCGAGTGTCGTCAGGTTTGCGGTGCCTCCCGGTCACATGAACAATGGGTCTGATTCCTCCGACTCCGAGTACAGCTCTCAGACCACGGTGTCTGGAATTAGTGAAGAGCTCAGGCACTACGAAGCACAGCGGGGTTCTGGAGGTCCTGCCCACCAAGTGATTGTGGAAGCCACAGAAAACCCCGTCTTCGCCCGGTCCACTGTGAGTCACTTCAGGGACTGGGAAGATTCATCTTTCCTATGGCGGTGGGCCAGAAGGTGCCGGGGAGGTCCCTTCCTACAGATCTCATAGGCAGATGGGGTGTGATAAGAAGGTGTATACAGCAGGTCAGATCAGAGGAAACTGCCAGCATGACGCTCTTTGTAAACTATGACATGCTTCCTTTTAATCTTGTGAATTGAAACAGAGCAGTCTAGCATTGTTACAGGGAGGCATGGTTTTCCCAGCCCCACCCTTATTCAGAACGGACTCAGAGCTTTACCCCCTTTTATCCCTTCCATCTTATCTTTTCACACTAGTGATCATTTCAGAGTGATATATGAAGAAATGTAATAAATAGTGTATCATACTGCCATGAGAAGCATTTTTTTTTCTTCTCATCTGTATTACCTTTAATTGGCCTTGGCACAAAATTGTTTTAATTATTCAGTAAGGCTTTCCCATAGGTTTATGGCATCAAGCTCTTACTGTTATAGATGGCTGGTGATCTGTGAAGCTCAAAAGCACCCCAAATTCTTACCTTAATTCCAGAAGGTAGTGAGGAATGCATGGGTTCCTTCCTTAACCTTCTCCCAGCCCCCAACCAAGATACTCAGCCTCAGAGAGTTAAGGAAGGCTCCAAAGCTCCCGTTGCTGCCCAAGGCCCCCACCATCCTTACAGGAAATGTGTTTTTCAGTCCCAGGCTAGAGCAGCCTTCCATGAAGGAGAGAAGGGCTGTCCAATGAATTGTGTTCCTGTCCCCTGTCCCCTGTCCCCTCACACCCCCTCACACACACCCGTGACGATGCCCCGCTGAGCTGCACTGTGAATCTGGTTCTGTTCAGCAGGAGCCTAAAAATAGGTACAAGCTCACCGACTTTGAAGTTGGTCACGGTCTCTTTGATGGATGTGGCCACTGTGTTGCTCCGAGCTTTGTACAGAGACCCAGAAACCAGATTCTTAGTACTCAGGCAGAAGCACATTGCCTAACAGAACTATCTGTGTGGAAGTTTTTCCTCCTCTCTTCAGTACATTAGCTACTGGCCACAGCTGGCTTGGAGCTAGAAGCAGGTGAAATAAAGGCAGTATGACCCAGAGGGAGGAGCCTTACACCTCTAAAGGCTCTTGTATATAGGTGTGTATGTACCAAGACTCCCTGCCTCTTGGCCATCCAGAGCCAGGCACTTGGCAGTTTTTGAGGAGAAGGACCTAGGGTCTGGCTAGACTGAGCAGGGTGGGGCAGTTTGGCTGTGGGAGTGAGCTGCTGGGGTGCTCCTGCAGCTGTGGGCAGCAGCTCTGTGCCTCCAGCCCGCTGTGCTGGAGCAGACAAGATTCACGTCCTGGCCACTACTGAAGGAATAGGGTTTTTTTGTGTTTGGAAGGTCAGCACCCTATGTCCCTGGGTTAACCAGTGTCACCTCTGCAGGTGGTCCATCCAGAATCCAGACATCGTCCTCCCTTGAATCCTCGGCAGCCCCACCTGGACTCTGACTCCTTGTCCTCTGGACGGCAAGGCCAGCAGCCTCGAAGGGAGCCCCCCAGAGAAGGCTTGCGGCCACCTCCCTACAGACCGCGCAGAGACGCTTTTGAAATTTCTACTGAAGGGCATTCCGGCCCTAGCAATAGGGACCGCTCAGGCCCCCGTGGGGCCCGTTCCCACAACCCTCGGAACCCAACGTCCACCGCCACAGGCAGCTCTGTGCCCAGCTACTGCCAGCCCATCACCACTGTGACAGCTTCTGCTTCTGTGACTGTCGCTGTGCACCCTCCACCTGGGCCTGGGCGCAACCCCCGAGGGGGGCCCTGTCCAGGTTATGAGACTGACCACGGGGTGTTCGAGGACCCCCATGTGCCTTTCCATGTCAGGTGTGAGAGGAGGGGCTCGAAGGTGGAGGTCATAGAGCTGCAGGACGTGGAATGTGAGGAGAGGCCGTGGGGGAACAGCTCCGACTGAGGCATGTGCTGTGGGTGCACTGGTGATGCTTCCCAAACCCCGGACCCTGGGGACCCTTATCCCCAAGGCAAGGCTGCTGAGGCCAAACTCTGTCCTCTGTAGACTAACAACACAGTTCCAAATTGGGTTGCTTCTCTTTCCCTGTAAATCCCTTGAGTGCAGTTTATCAGCTTTACCTTGTACCTGTTTGCTGAGCGCTCATAGAGCAGAATTCTAACAAGCATGCAGATGACCTTGCAAGGTGAAGGTACATGACGTGGATTTAGCACCATAGTCAGTCCATTGTAGAGGTGCTTAGCTCAGTGTGGTCATGACCATAATATGACCTCTTTTTTTTTTTTTTTTTTTTTTGTTTTTTTTTGTTTTTTTTGTTTTGTTTTGTTTTGTTTTGTTTTCTTTTAAAGGGTAATTAAAATCTGAAGCAAAGAGGCCAAAGATTGGAAAGCCCCCCCCCCCTTTCCAGAACTGACTGCTTGAAGAGAACTGCTTGGAATTGTGGGAAAGCAGTTCATTGTTACTGTAACTGATTGTATTATTTTGTGAAATATTTCTATAAATATTTAAGAGGTGTACACATGTAATATACATGGAAATGCTGTACAGTCTATTGCCCAGGGCCTCTCCACTCCTGCCCCAGAGTCGGGAGACCCCGGGGGTCCTTCCCTCTGTGTGCATTGGTCTCTGTGCTGCCACCAAGCTTAACTTAGTCTTTAAACTCTCCCAGCATACGTCGCTGCTGCTTATATATTGTATAATTTACCTGTATAATTCTATGCAAATATTGCTGTGTAATAGGATTATTTGTAAAGTTTTCTGTTGAAGATATTTTAAATTTGCATATCACAACCCTGTGGTAGGATGAAATGTTACGTTAACTTTCAAACACGCTATGCGTGGTAATTGTTTTAAGAGCAGACATGAAGAAAACAGGCTGATCCCAGTGGCTTCTCTAGGGCTAGTTTTGTGCGGTCCTCGTGGGCATGTGTGTGGACATGGGACTTTCCAATGTACTGTACTGTGATTATTTTGTTGTTCTTTTGGCTTGTTTGTTTCTCTTTGCTTTGTGTGACCTTAGCCCCTGCCTCCTGAGCTGGGAAAGGCCAGGTCTCTCTCCATTGTGATGCTGTGGGAGGGTGCCCAGTCATCTGTCTTAATCTCGTCTCTGGGAGTATCCAAGAGGAGCCAGACTTGCTTCATGCCTGTGGCAGCCCTGAGGTCATGAGTGGCCAGCCCTCCCGGCCCCTCTCTGTACTTCCGAGAGTATGCTCTCACAGATCATAGTGTTGGCCGATAGTTACCAGTTATACCACATGGCCTGGTGGTGAGTCTCAGCTGGGTCAGGAGATTGCACTTCAGGGAAGTGTGGTTGTACCTTTCTTGATGGTCGACACATGCACACAGCCTCCTATTCCATATCCCAGATACAGGCATTAAAAATAAATACATATATATTTCAGTCAAGGGCTGTATTCAAGTTTTTACAACTGTGAGTCCCTCTCTTGAAAAATTGACTGCCTGGCTGGGGCATGCTAACAGTGTTGTGGTGAGCTAAGTGGGGATGAGCTTCCAGGGACTCTTCTGCATGCTCCTGTCCTGTGTGTCCTTCCTCCCCTTCTCCACTGTTAGCATTCATCCAGTGGGATGTCTATGGAGGAGCAGGAAGAGGCCACCCCATAGAAGTGTATAGAGAAAGCTCTTTGAACCTGGTGTTGGATTGCAAAGTTTGATCCTGTTCTCCTTCCGTGAGAACCGTGAGAACCAAAACCTTCCGTGAGGTTTTGGCCTCTTTGCCTCTGGCCAGAGACTAGTAAATAGGGAAGCAATGTCCTTGTCCTTCCCCAGTAAGCCCTGAGAAATTATCTCAGAAGAAGGGAGCTAGTGCCCATGGAAGCTGACGAGCACTCTCTGCGTGCAGATTCCCTGAATCCCTCCTGTCTTTCATGGAACAATTTAAGGCGATGGGCCCCTCATAGTACCAGCAGTCTAGTGACCTCAGACCCGAAAACTAATCCCCCAAACTGTAAGGTACTAACTAGAAGCCACCCATGGCTACCAAGTGTGTGTCTGTGTCTGTGTCTCTGTGTGTGTGAAAGTATGCTGGAGGCCCTGGCTGCCCACTGCTACTGTCTAAATGCCTGTCAAGCCACTGTCTGCCCGCCAACACCAGCTCTGCTCAGACAGCTTGAACGCTGAGTTGAGGAGAGAGATAGAGAATTCTGAAGGCACTTCCCTGTGGTTCTTGGTTGTGTCCCTGACCCCTGAGCCTCGCTTTTGTGGCAAAAGGAAGTTCATACAGCCCCTTGGCTTCTGTGCATGATGAATTACATCAGCCAAGGCAGGAAGGACACAGAGCTGGCAGGAGACTACAGTCTCAGAGTGAGAGAGAGAGAGTGTGTGTGTGTCTCATAGTTTATTTTGTCTGTATTGTTTGTTCATTTGGATGTTTTAATTTTTAAAAGAGAAGATCTTTGCTGATATTTATAATTTTGTATCATAAGAATGTCCTCCAGAATTTGTCATGCCAGTTTATAACAACAACAAAAGAAAAAATGCAGGGATTTTATTTCTGTTGGAAACACTATTGCAGTTATGTTTTACTTTTGAACAGAAGTTTTATTTGTATAGAGTGCTTACTAATGTTAAATAGTTCAGAGTATATAACATTTCCATTAAGGACTCATGGTAGATTTTAGTGTAAGGAGTTTAAAGGAAATAAATATTCAAACTGGGTCTTGTCTGCCAATTTGGGTGGAAATGAGTTTGTGTCATTTCAATTACAAAGATGAAAGTATGCCATATAATTTATTTATATGAAAATTTATTTTTGTAGTGTACATAGTAGTCATCAAGTCTTTTGACAGAAGTATATTTTTAAAGAATTTATATGTGATAAAATCCATAATGTCTGGAACTTTGCTGAGACATGAGTGTGAGGACACATTTCGTTGTAAATGACAGCAAGGAAGAGACTATGTTTAACAGTGTTAAGAGAGTGTACAAGTGAGCAGCTGTTCCTGTGATTGGGAAGTGTTGGTGTGAGCATTGTGACCTGGTGCAGTTCTCAGATGAAAATGTACAAAACTCTCTAAATATTAATGTTCAAACACTGATAGAAATTCTAACATGAATAAAGATAATATAACTTGTTGGTTTATGTGCTTGTTTAAGTGTTCACTTCATCATTATGTCATGCATGAGGAAAGCATGTCTAGAAATAAGACCCCTGTTCCTAGTTCAGGCCTGGTTTTGCAACAGTAAACAAGTGCTTGGGAAGGCCATGGAGGCTGAAACCATTCTAAGCATGTGAGTCCTAGAGGGAGGAGTAAGCCAGCTACAGCCAGCACTGCTTCCTGGTTTTATATGGTTTGTCAGGGGACAGCCATGTTTTGTGTCTATGCATACTGTTCATGGCTGTTTTCACGCTATGATGGCAGAATTGTCTAGTGTGCAGTGGTGATTGACTGTCCTTTGGACCCTGAACTATTTACTCTCTGGTCTTTAGGAAGAAGCCTACCAGTTCCTCTTAAAACAAGGAAGCGTTTGGCCGATGCTACTCAAATGTGGTCCATGAATCAGCATGCCTTGGAAGCCTGCTAGAAAAGCCAGCGCCCAGCGCTGCTCCAGGCCCACTAACTGCAGAATCCGTGGGAGGAAAGCCCAGGCATCTGCTCTAATAGCTCCAGTGGTTCTGAAACTCCAGGAGAAACAATCTCTAAATTCCTTCCAGGCGAATGTGGCCTTGGCACTAGTGTGACTCAGGCTAAATGGCCAGATTCTGGAAACAACGGGGAGATCCCGATTCCTCTGTGTGGTCTTTCCACAGAAGCACATGTTCCTCTGTGGGAAGAGTCAGGACCTGTGAATTTAGCATTTGTGTCTGAGTTCTGCCACACACAGCCATGAGCAGGGCCTCAGCAGAAGCTGTGGGGCCCTGGTATAACAGGCAGGGGGTATGCGGCCTCTGTCTGTCCTTCCAGCCTAGCAGCTTTCCCAGCATCCGGTTGGGCAGCTATGGGCAAGTCCCTTGAAACCTTGGGATCCTGTGCCATATAAATGAAGTATGATGAATGTTCTCCAAGGGTGGTAATTAAAGCTCTAGAAAGGTGGCCTCTTGGGCCACCGGGTGAGTCAGAATGGGTTCAACCACATCCCAAGCACTCCACAGTGACTCAGCTACCCTGGATCTGAGTTTGCATCTCTGAGGTGGCCGGGACCATTTTGTAGAAACCTGAGAGGAATGCTGCAGCCCTGCAGTGACCACCAGCTGGGCTAGAAGGATGGCTCAGTCAGTGAAGGGCTTCTGCAAACATAAGGACCTGAGTTCAATCCCAGGACACAGGTAAAAAACCCAGGGACTAGCTGTGCTGGTAACCTCAGTGTTGAAGAGGTGGAGACAAAAGGATCCCTTTGACTTACTAGGCAGCTAGCCTAGCCAATCAGTGACCCCTGGCCATTTGTTATAAAACACAAAGTGAATGGTCCCTGAGAAAGAGTTTGGAGCTTTGCAGAAGTCCATGCACACGTGTGCCCATGCACGCACAGGCTCAGATACTCAGTTAATGCAGTGATCTCCACGATACACACTGCCTAGGAAAAAGCTGAGCATTCTGTCTTACAAGCTTAGCTTCTCTCCTGATAGAGTTCATGGAATGTCCTTAAGGCCTTCTGTAGTAAACTTCATAGGCAATGCTGACTTGGTTCCAAATTCAACTCAAGGACATTGTGGACTCTCCTGGTCTAAGCATGGGAAATATTACTAGCATTAATTAGAACCCAAACTGGGAGAAGCTTTTGTTGAGATACGCTTTGTTTTTAGTTTTTCTGAGACAGGAGTTTCTGTGTGTGGCAGTGACTGTCCTGGAACTCACTGTAGACCAGGCTGACCAGAGATCCGCCTGCCTCTGCCTCCTAAGCAATGGGATTAAAGGCTAGTTTTATGCTTTTTTAATTTCATTTTTACATTTACTGTATGTGTGTAGGTCAGAGGACAACTTGTGGGAGTCAGTTCTCCCCTTCCACTGTGTGGGCCCAAGGATAAAACTCAGGCAGGCAGGCTTAGCAGCTTTACTTGCTGAGCCATCTTGTCAGCCAGCTTTATGTCTTACCATTGACACATAGCAAATAAGTAACTTCATTTTTAATCATGGACCGGGAAAAGAGTTTAATTAAACTGTGTGCCAAAATCTGCCATCTTTATTCGGGACCTAGGTAAATATAACCCCTCACTTTCTTTTTCCTCCCTTCCTCCCCTCCTCCCTCCTTCCCTCTGTCTTCCTCTTTCCCTCCCTCCATATTGCTTTCTCTCCCTGTCTCCCTCCCAACCCTCTCTTCTTTTCACACCAACTATACCACAGCTACTGGAAAGCTCCAGGCCTTTGAACTCCAGGCAACAGCCATGCTTGTACAGAGGCAGTTGCTTTATTTTGGGTAACTGACCTCCCAAAAGAAGAAATGGAGGTAGGTCTTCCAGTCATCTGAAAAGAACTTTGGCCAGGTTTTAATTGCTCTTAATGGCGGTAGTACATAATGAGAACATACTGTAAGCATGAGTCTGTTTAATCATTCACAAAGTCATGATAGAGGATATGTTGGACACCCTTTTCTGCATAGATTTCCTGCCAGGAAATTAGAACAACTGTCATCATAAATCTCCTCAAGGGATGGTCTGGCCTGTTCAGATCATGGAACTCCAGCAAACTGAGGGCTTGGGGTTCTGCTACATAAAGAAGTGTGCCCAGTGTGGGTGATACAGATTGCAACTGACATGGCGCAGCTGGAACTTTCCACAGGATATGACTGAGTCAAGGCTTCTGTGGAGAAATACACTCTTGAAGCAAAGAGAACAGAGTTGACTGCAGGTGTCTATGCAGCCTGTGGATGCAACCTCGTATGGCCAAGGAAAGCTACTACTAGGGACCAAAACAGAATCCATAAACTTAAAACATGAGAACTTTTTCACCAGCTCGTTTGAAAGGGGTTAAGTAATTTGATCGTCCAGGTCTCCAGCATAAACTTTACAGATGACACTGTCATGTTGCAATGTCAAAAAGTTGACCATACTGCTAGAGAGAAGCGCCACAATGGGAGTCAGACCTCAGCAAGAAGCAGTGCCTGCTGGGGAAGCATGGGAGGCTCCAGGACACTCTATTTTCCTGGAGAGTGTTATCTTAATTCTACCCACACGTGATGTCAGACTATGCAGCAAGAGTAACGATAAAGTCAAGCAAGTTGCTCCTAAAAGAGCAACTACAGGAAATGCCTCTATCAACAACACCATCTTTACACACAACGGACATCAGCTCATGTTCTCGTGGAAAGTGGGGTGGGGTGAATAATTACTTGTTTTATTTGTATAAAAAAAATATCATGTAGATGGAGGAAGACATGATGAGCAAGTTCTGACTGGTGGGTTATTATATCATAATGAGGATGGCAGGAGTAAGCCCAAGTTGAGACGCCAGAGACTCCTCTTTGTAATTATACATGTGAATTGATGGCAGAGGCAGGTGGATTGGTGTTGAAAGCTTCTGCAGCCAGAGGAAAAGCAAGATGAGGCAGGAACGGAAAACAGCAAGGGGCCCTCTGCTACAGACCAGGAGCAAAGAAGCACCAGCAGAAAGGACCAGGTCAGATGAGCAAAAAGCAAGGCCAGTATCTCAGAAAAGAGCAATGCACCCTTCAAAGAGGAGCCGAACAAGGAGGCAATACTGGCAATGACCGGAAGCATGTCAAGAACCGGTCAAGGACCTCCTAAAGGAGGATCATAATCTGCAAGATGGTAAAGAGGGCAGTCCTTCGTGCTTGAACTTCTCATGATGGACATTTTTGTGCCTTCCTCATACTTCCCACCTTGCATGGCATCATGGAAGGCGATCAGGCACCAAGATGTCTGACTCGTAGAAGGTAAAGGCTGCCGGGAGCCTTGACATCTTATAACCTGGAGACTTAACATGGCTGGCTGAACATGAGCTAACACTCACAGCAATCAAGGCGTTTGTTCCCTCATTGTCTTCATTTTCCCCTGTTTGTTTTATGTGTTAATTTCAAAGATATGGGGACTCCCATCCACACTGCTGTTAGAGCCAAAGACCCTCTGAGTCTTGCACCTCTACGAGCACGTGTGCCTCCTGCACACCCAGCACATGTTTGTGCTAACGCAAACAGCGGCAGTGAGGGAAGCAATTAGCAAATCTCTGAATTCTCCTTCTGATTACACCTAAATTCCGAAAGCTAATTGGCTAAAATGTTCTTCCTTAATTAGAAGCAATTAATACATGAAACTAGGAGTGCATTTCACAAGAGTTTACATTTCGTGATTGAAATCTCCAACTTCATTTACTAATGGTCTCTAATGGCCTGTAATCATAAGGCACGCACAATTACAGGGGGATTTTCAAAGTGTCAGAATGGAAGACTGTCTGAATTTATGAATTATTCTTCCACTGCTGAATACATGGCCAAGGTCTGTGTGTGTACATGCTTGCTCAAACATTCCCAAAGGAGCACATTTATGACATTTGGCCCCTTCTGGATCCCCCACTCTCTGCTGTCATCCACCCCTCAGCATCCAGGGCCCCATACACACCTAAATCCTCAGAAGCTCAAGTCAATCCTCAGAATTGTGAAATATTCTGTGGCTGGCATACAGGCAGCACGCATGCGACTGCAGACTTTAAATCATCTTCACAGCACTTACAACACAGCGTAAATGCTACAGTGTAAATATTTGCTATTAGATATCAACTAGGATGTAACAAGAAAAAGGTCAACCTATTCCATACTCATGCAACTTTTTTTCAAATACTTTTGACTCAAAATTAATTCAAAATTGAATTAATTCAAGGATGTGAAAGCCATAGTCGGATTGTTTTCTCATCCCCTCTCCCCTGGAAGACCTCTCTTTCTTTTCATCAGTCAAGCTAGTAGACCAAAGTCTACTGAAATCCATCTGTAAGTCACAAGGCTGGGAGATAGCTCAGTCCTTAAAGTGCTTGCTATGTAAGCATAAGGCCTGAGTTGGATTGCTGGACCCATGTGAAAATCTGGTACCTGCTTCTAAGTGTGTCACTGAAGAGGCAGAAGCAGGAGAATCCCTCTGATTCACTGGCGAGCCGGCTTAGCCTAATCAGCAAGCCTCTGGTCCCCATGAAAGAC